AGTTAAACTAAACTAAATTCAATTAATTTCAAAACAAAAGAAGAAAAAACTAAACTAAGACTATGTAATTAGAGTCTCCAGCTCCTCCTACAAAGATCTGTAATAACTACTTATAATCTCACTGCTAGAAAGAGCAAGCAAGATGCCCACAGTATAGGCAGTTGTTACATTTTTAATTCAAGCCTGCAGAGATGCACTCTGTAAAGACTATATTACTATAATCTTGCTGAGCTCTCTTGCAGACAGAGCACTTCTGTCCAGATAATGACTAGACTCCAGCTCAAGTTACAAGAATTCTCTCACAAAGCTGAGTGTGTACAGTTAACTGGTTTAAATTATCCAAACCAGCAATAAGTACAGATCTTTAAATAGACTCACAACACCATGCTCTTTTGTGAGCAGACAAAGCTTGTGCCTCTGTGTGAAGGGGGAGATCTGGAAGAATTACTGGATTGGTCTGCAATGCACCAGCAAAAGTAGCAGCTAGTAACATTTGGGTGAAGATGGTCTGGAATTATTATTGTCAGTCTTGCAGAGAGGGTACTGGGTAGTCTCAAGTACTTTACAGAATTACAGCACCCACAAACTCTGCTGGCACAGAGAGAACAACAACAATAATTTAAAGAAGATTAGCTGTGAACTGAAATATGATAGAGAATACTTATATTTCTGGCTGGAGCCAGAGCAACAATTACAGAAGAAGAAGATAGAGCAGCAGGACTCTAACTCTATTAGCACACAAATTAATGTCAGCTCACAAGAAGTACTTACAGCTTGAGCTGACACAGAAAGAGCAGTAATAACTAATAAAGAAGAAGAAGAGAAAATAACAACACTCTAGAACTATCAGTTACAAACACTTTTCAAACTTCTTGCAACTACTTATCAAAAACCCAATCTCATCTACAAAAGAGAGAATGGAGGTTCTCTCAAGAAAGAAAAGCAGAGATAAGTTATAAGAGAGAGAGAGAGAGAACTGCATATCAGCAGTAACTGCTAGCAAGCATCAGTCTCTCTGTAAATCAAACCCCACACAAAGATAAAACCAAATAGCCATGTGAAGCAAAGGCACAACCAGAGATGAACTCACCAGCTTGTGATCTTTCAGCTAATTATACAGAATATTCAAGTGAAGTTATTTTTCTTCCAGAATATTAGAGATCTTTCACAAGTCTGCCTCTTATGTGAAGCAGTGCTTGAAGGGTTCACTTATCTTTATAAAGATGATATAGACTAGAGAAGAAAGAGAAAAAAAGAAGAGAAAGAGAAAGCAAGAGAAAGCTCTCTCTTAAGCTAGTGTTTATTATCTAATAGTGACACAGGGCTAGCAAGAACAATAGAGACTCTCTATACATTGTTGTGTTATTGGGTTCTGTTATGTTATTAGAGTTGTGTTGATATCACATCTCTAGTAAGGCTGTACTCTTTTTCTTATAAGGAAATTTTTATTTTTCCCAAGAGATTTTTTTTTTTTCTACTCATGAAGGTTTTTAATGAGACAGTCATCTTGAGGAATCAAGGCTTACAAGAGGGGGGAGTCTGTAAGAATTTACTGTGAACCTCTTACACAGACAAACAGCACCCATGAGGGCCAGAGGCCTCAGCTTGCAAGCTGCTGGAAGTTACATGTGTTCTTGTGAGGCACTAAGTCATGTGCTCACAAGCACACATAAAAGGCCATCACTGTGCAAATCTCTTGCTGGGAGTCAGTAGCAATCTTGTTTACAAGTTATACATAGTTACCAGAATACAGACCTTTTACCTCATGTACTCTTTTTCCCATGTATATTTCTCCTAGAGATTCATTGTCACACTGATCCACATGTACGATCCTCACACAATTCCCATCCCAAGAACAGGATCAGGTTGAAGCTCAGCTTAATGAAATGGGACCAGGTTGTTTAACAGCATATTGGGACAGCTCCATGGGAACTGGGATTGGAATGGGATTGGGACTGGGATCAAAATCTAGCTAGTAGAATGGGCCTGGGACCTGACATGACAAAATAGGATAGGACTGGGATTTCAATATTGTATATGGGATGGGACCAGTAAAGTGTAGAATAGGACCAGGAACTCTGGTCCCATTTGTGTTATCAAAAAGTAATGAAATTTGGTAACAGTTCTAACATAATTGTATTAATTTATTCAACTTTGAAAAAGTATTGAAATTTGATAATGCTCTTTGCATAATTAGATTATATTGCAAGCTATTAGCTACTTGAGTCTATCTATTGATAATATTAATGTATTTCCTGTTTCTCATCTGAATTAAGTAGTGGATTTAGCAGGCTTGCAATCTCTTTCTGTACAATCTCTGAAGTATCTTAATCATCTTGATTGTCTTGGATAAGTTCCTTGGCCAACTTCTCATGCAATATGAGTGCTTTATCTAGCATATGCATCTTATCTTCATGTTTAAGCAGCATGATCTTCTTGATTGTAGATGCATGGAGCTGTAATTGTTGATAATAACATGTATTCTAAGCAATATTGAAAACCCATTCTACTTCAATCTCTGTCAAAAATATAGCCAGAATGTCCCTTGCCATCTGAGCAATAGTTGGAAAATCAGGCTCTAGCATCTTCTACTGTTCCAGAATTGGAGCTTGAGATAATGTCAAATTCTTGTCATTTAAATATTGCTCCATTTTATTTTGGAAATTTGCTTGTCTTTAATAAGATCTCTCAAAAATCATTTGCTCAATATTCTAGAGAAGTTAGCAGAGAAGAAATCAGAATAATACTTATAATAAACATATATTATTTATATCAAGTATTACTTCTCTTGGCTGTTCATATTTCTCATAATGCTTTTTGTAAAATCTCAAAATATATTGTTGATATGTTTCATACTCATCACTAGTCCAATCCTCTGAATTATATACTCCCATGTGGTGTGATGGATGGAGAGCAGCAGCTACAGCTAGCAGCTCACTCTTTGAATACTCAGTATTACTATAGTATTTCTGGAATTTCAAGTTGGCAGCTTTGATAACTTCTTGAATATTCTCTCTTGTTGTCAACTATTGAGTCTTGTTCTCCTCTCTTTCTAAATACTGGAAAAGATGATTGTATATTGCCCATACCAGATGAATTATTGGACCTGTTGTTTTGGACAGTATCTTGATAAATTGACTGAATGATGGCAACAGTTCAATCATATACTTTAGCTGCTTCCAGTCATGATTCAATAAGTGAAGTCTTTGATATTTTGGTGATGAGTTCTGGATTCATAAGTTTACAGCTTGTTGAAGCAACAAGACATAAACACACATCTTATAGATGAAATTTTATCTTGTGTGAATATCTTGAATCATCTTGCACTAGTTCTCTTGTTAATATTCTCAGAAATATGCAGTGAGTTAGGGAGAGACATTGGTTGTATTGGTAACAAGATAAATCTATTGTCAAGCAAAGATTAGTAAATTAACTCAAGTATATTAAGACTGTTATCAAATTTTGTTATCTTTCTAAGAGTATTTGCAAATGTGTCTGTTGATGCTAGATTATCAGTAATTAAGCTCTTATCAAAGATAGTGGGTAGAGTATTATTGTCTGGCTGAATCTTGAGATTGCAAACCAGCTCTTGAATCACAAGTTAAATTATATAAGCAAGACAGAATATTATTCCACTCTCTGTATTTCAATCAGTTGTCTTGTTCAACTGCTGCAATACTGGCCTTAACTGATGTGTAAGATATGCTTGTATAGTACTATTGTTTAATGCATTGTTACTTGTAATTACAAGAAGATTGCTCTCAAGTCTTCATACTGCTAGTGATTGTTGAAGAATCTCTGCTATATTCTTGTCAGTATAAGCACTCTCTAAACTTTCAAAATCCAGTAAATGCTCATGGTACTTCTAATTCTTTGTAATGTAATAACCATTAATTACCATAAAGAAAAGATTATTGAGACTTGTCCAATTATTTACTGCCAGAGATATCTTGATTGTTGGGTTATAATTAAAAAGAAGATTTTAGAATAGCTGATTATATATATTATTCATGATCTGATATAATGTTTCTTATGTGGGTATCTGTAAAGCTATTGCAGGATTGAGCATGGTTATTAATATGCAGAATGCTGGATTCTCAATAGCATGAAATGAAAGATTCAAGAATATTAATGTTTGCACAAGCTGCTGAAGAAAATTATCTTGATTGCATTCAGGAATAGGCAGATCTGAATCTGTTTGAGAATGCTTTGAAAACTATTGCTAAGACACCAGAACTGTTACTAAAATTTGTTATATTTGAGAAATTAGAATCCATAATCTATCATCATATTAACCAGAGTGTTACCCTGTCTGTCACCAGTTTTTGTACAATTTTTGCTTGTTAAATGCTTCTTCAGACCACTTGTACTATTTTGAGAAAAGCTTAAATAACTGAGAAAGGTTTGGCAATGCTTGCAAATCATTTCTAAAGTGCTCTTAAAATGCTCTGCCACCTGATCAAATTTTGACCAAAAATCAGAATAATGTTGCTTTATCTTTCAGTTGGAATTATTATACTTCTTATCATTAATCAACTGAGCAGCTTCAGTAGTCAATCACCAAGTAACAAACAACTTATGATGCAGCTCCTTCCATAATACAAATTTTTTTTTTCTATGTTGAACTATGATCAATTCTGAAGGAATCTCTGTAGATTTTGCTTGTTTGCTGGCTTCAGCCATTAGGTTTTTCTTTTTTTTTCTTTTTTTTTTCTTTTTTTTTTTTTTTCATAATCAAATTGATTTTTCTCTAAGTTCTGCCTTAGTCAAAAAAGTAACAAAATGTGGTCAGAGGTCATGCAAAATTTGACAATCTCTAGATAGTTAGTCTCATTTTACTCTGTAAGTACAGCAACCAACTACAAAATCTTCTTCTTCTACAAAATAGAACATTCTTCTTCAGGAAAATAAAATATTTTGCCAATTTAATGGCACTCCATTCTCAAATTAATATAAAAAAAGAATTAAAAATCTAACTTTCTTCTCTAGATATCAATAATTCAATCATTCTCTGTCTTATTGTTCTTCTCATTATTCTCATCAGAGAACATCACAATCTCAAAATCATCTTTCTCCATCTTCTCTGGAATAGGTAGGCTGTTGTTATCTTCACTTGAATTTTGTAATTGGTCCAGAAATTCTTTTATTTTCTTCTCAACCCTCTCTCTTGACACACCAACTGCAGCAAGATAATTATGATTATAGGCCATGATCTTGGCCTCAAGTCTGGCTATCATTTGGCAGAATTGAATCTCTCTATATGCAGCAATAGAATGCTGTATCTGGCTTGTTTTGATCTAAACATATCAGAACTATTACTAAATTTTATTACTTTTGAATTCTATCTTCTTTTTCTGCTGAGCTTCATTCTTGATCTCTATAATCTCTTCTTAGTAATGCTTCTTCTTCTTCTTTCTCTTCTTTTGCTAAGAGATTATAAGCTGGTGCTTATGATACTTCTTTGACTTGCTTTTAGCAAATTGCTTGATCATCAACTCTTCAATAACTTTATCTTTAATTGTCTTGTGATTCTTCTTGCTGCTATTCTGTCTGTAATGAATATCAATATAGTTCAATGCAAATTACTGAGAGTGTATACTACTTATGTTTTGCTTGGATTCTCTTTAGTATATTATAATATGTCTTGTGATCTGTCTCTTCTGTCTTGAATATATCTTTTTAATAGTTTTTCAAGATCTGGCAGTGCTCTTGTGCTGCATGGGTCTTCTCTCTTATTAAATATTGTTTTGGCCCCATCTTCATAATTGTATATGATGAGTTGAATTGCTGGCTACAGAATAATAAGATTATAGAGTATATTGATCAAGTACTTATATAAAATAGTTACTATACACATTATTTACATTCTACAGGCATGTTGCTATAGGCAAGCTCAATATGTTATTGCTATGCTAGCTACAGGATAATAGAATTATAGAGTGTATTAATCAAGTACTGTAGAATGGTTACTATACACATTGTTTATATTCTACAGGCATGTTGCTATAGGCAAGATCAATGTGTTATTGCTATGCTGACTACAGAATAATAACATCAGGTCAGTCTTTCTTCTCTTCTTTTTCTCTTTCTCTTCTTCTTCTTTCTCTTCAGGGCTAATGTTGATGATTTCCTCTCTCTCTTCTCTCCCCCCCCCACTATCTTTTTATTTACTGTGCTTTAATGTCTGCATGTACAACAAACATATACTGTGACAAAATGGGTCACATTAAAAGATGAGTGCTTGCAGAATACTGCTCTGGTGCATATTGTTTACTGACAAGATGTTAGTTTTTCCTGTGCATATCCATTTTGCACAGCTGAAGAGAAGTGGCACAAGACTGCATTGAAAGAATAGGCCCTGAAGAAGAGTAATTAGTGTAAAGCTAATAAAAATGTTGATCTGGCTAACTTTAATCAGAAGAATCTCTGCCTCTGCCTCCTCATTTAAAATTGAAAGGCTGGCACTTGTATATCAAAAAGTAATAATTTTTAGTAATGGTCTTGATGCTAATTAGTGAAAATAAGTACCATCAAGAAAATCTGCTACTTTCAGAGCTCTACTAAGCTAATCTTGCTGGTGGCCCTGTTCCAGTAATTAATTTGAGAAATTACTTTGTTCTGTCATCAAGAACATGAATATTGCTGGCAATGTACTGTCATTAAGTTACTTTAGAAGATAACTGAAGCAATCTTGTGTACTCTGTTTGAATGTAAGTTACTCTTAGCAATGACACTAATAATTATACTGAGTAATATAGACTCTGTTATAACAATAGTGCACTGTAAGTATATTATAGTCAATGCTGATGATATGAAGCTTGTTCTTGATATTGATGCCAAAATTGGGTTAAATTATTTTGGTCTGATTGATGTACCTGATTGTCCTGCCTCTGCTGCCACCACTCACTATCTGTATGCTGCCCCTGCCTCATCAACTACTGCTGCTGCTGCTTCACCATCACTGTCACTGTCCACTACTACCTCTCTGCCTCTCTCTGGTGCTGTCAGGGTCTCTATCTGTCAAATAACAGATATTAGAGTCCTTGTCTGGTTCACAAAGCTGGTTCTAGAGAAGCAGAAGGAGAAGCAGAAGAAGGAGAAGAAGAAGAAGAAGAAGAAGAAGTGGAAGAAGAAGAAGGAAAGAGAGAAGAAGAATGATAATAATAATAAAGATGATAATAATGATGATTAACTTGCTATTTAGACAGTTTCTATTTGTTTGCTAGCTTCAGTTATTAGTTAGTTTTAATACTTTGTTTCTTTTAACAATCAAATTAATTTTTCTATAGGTTCCGCCTTCATTAAAAAAGTAATAAAATTTGGTAACAATTCACACAAAATTTGATCAGTTTGACTCTTCCCTATAAATTTAATACAATGGAACTGGGAATCCTGGTCCCATCCCAGTCCCACTATGAACCCAGCTGAGATAGAAAATGGGAGTCTACCATCTCTGCTGGAATGGGATGTGGGACATAATTTTCTATTTGAGAATGGGACTGGAAAATAATTTCTAGAATAGAGATAGGAACAGAACCTCAAGCTCTTGAGTGAGATGGGACATGGGACTGAGATTTCATATTTGAGATCCCAGCTGTTTTTAAATTCAGGACCAGAACCAGCTTCAATAGGAAATGGGATTCTGTCCCGGTTCTGAATACCAGCCTATTCTAGATTATAGTAGCAGATGACAGATTCTTTGAAGAAAACTACTTTTAACATACAAAACACTTCTCTGACAGCAGATGTCAGAAGAAACAATCTCTTCTTTTATCTATTTTTACTGTCTTTCAAGAGATCTGTCAACAGCACCACAATAACTGAGTACTTTTTTATAAATCTTTGATAGAAGTTTACAAAATCCAGAAATATCTGAATATTATAGAAACTTCATGGCAAGATTCACTTCATAATCATCTGTATCTGCTTTGGATCCACCTTAATATCTTTGTTATTAATGATATATTCAAGATATGAGATTGTTTGTCTTTGAAAAGTACACTTAGCAAGCTTTGTAAACAACTGGTATTTTCTTAGACACTCCATAACTAGTCTAATGTGTTTCTTATGCTCTCTCTCTGAGGCAGAGAAGATAAGAATATTATCTAGATAAACTACACAGCATATGTCAACCAGGCCTGCCAGTGCTCTATTGATATAGGACTGAAAGATTGCTAATGTGTTTGATAACTTAAAAGATATGATTAGAGTGGTATCTGGTTCCGGGATTTCCTGTCCCAGTCCCAGATTCCTGTCCCAATTCCCATCCCAAGAACAGGATTAGGTTGAAGCTCAGCTCCACAGGATGGGACTGGGTTGTTTAACAGCATATTGGGATGGTTCCATGGGAGCTGGGATTGGGATGGGATTGGGACCAGGATCAAAATCTAGCTAATAGGATGGGCCTGGGACCTGGCCATGACAGAATGGGATAGGACCAGGATTTCAATATTGTATATGGGATGGGACCAGTAAAGTGTAGGATGGGACTGAGAATCCTGGTCCTATTTGTGTTGTCAAAAGGTAACAAAATTTGGTAATGGTCCTAACATAATTTTATCAATTTATTCAACTTTGGAAAAGTAACGAAATTTGGTAATGGTCTTGATGCTAATTGGTGAAATAGGTGCCATTAAAGAAATCTGCCACTTCCAGAGCTCTACAGAGCTAATCCTCCTGGTGGCCCTGTTCCAGTAATTGGTTTGGGAAATTACTTTGTCTTGTCACCAAGAACATGAATATTGCTGGCAATGTACTGCCATTGAGTTACTTCAGAAGGCTGCTGAAGCAATCTTATGCACTCTGTTTGAGTATAAGTCACCATTGGCAATGGCACCAACAATTATACTGAGTAATATAGGCTCTGTTATGGCAATGGCGCACCATAAGCACATTATGGTCAATGCTGACAATATGAAGCTTGTTCTTGGCATCAGTGCCATGACTGGGTTGAACTATTTTGGCCTGATTGATGCGCCTGATCACCCTGCTCCTGCCCCTGCTGCCACCATCTGCTGTCTGTGTTCTGCCCCAACCCCACCAACTACTTCTGCTGCTGCTCCACCACCACTGTCACTGCCCAATACTGCCTCTCTGCCTCCCCCTGGTGCTGACAGGGTCTCTGCCTGTCAAATGGTGGGTATTAGAGCCCCTGTCCAGTTCACAAAGCTGGTTCTGGAGGAGCAGGAGGAGGAGAAGGAGGAGGAGAAGGAGAAGAAGGAGAGAAACAAGAAGAAGAAGAAAAAGGAGGAGGAAGAGAAAGAGAATGATAATAATAATAAGAATGATGATGATGATGAGGATGATAATAATGATAAGAATGATGAACTTGCCATTTAGATAGTTTCTGATTCTTTGCTGGCTTTGGCCATTACTTAGTTTTTAATACTTTGTTTTTTCTTTAACAATGAAATTGATTTTTCTAAGAGTTCTGCCTTCATTAAAAAAGTAACAAAATTTGGTAATGGTCCACACAAAATTTGACCAGTTTGACTCTTGACACAATAGAGCTGGAAAACCTGACCCCATCCTGGTCCCACTATGGACCTGGCTGGGATAGGAAATGGGAGCCTATCTTCTCTGCTGGGATGGAACATGGGACATAATTTTCTATTTGAGAATGGGACCAGAAAATAATTTATGGGATAGTAATAGGAATGGGATCTCAAGCTCTTGAGTGGGATGGGACATGGGACTGAGATTTCATGTTTGAGATCCCAGCTGTTTCTAAATTCAGGACCAGGACCAGCTTCAATGGGAAATGGGATCCTGTTCTAGTCCTGAATACCAGCCTAGACATGATAAGATACTCAAAACTTCCAAACTTTATACAAAACATAATCTTCTATTTAGCTTCTTTTTTGATTCTAATCTGGTGGTAGATATTATGTAGATCTATCTTGGAAAAGTAGTGTGTTCTTGCCAACCAGCTTAATATCTTGTCTATCAATGGCAAGAGGTAACAGTTCTTCACTGTGATTGTGTTAAGATCACAATAATTAATACAGAGTCTGAGTTCTATATTAGTCTTAGGTGTAAATAATACTGGAGTCTCTGCCAGACTTTATAACAGATATATTTAACTCTTGTATAACTTGTTCTTAATATACTCTTATAGAATCTCTGTCTGCTTAAGTAATAGTCTATAGATTGGTATGTACAGGGCTTGCAGCCATCTTTAAGAATAATTAAATAACTAATCTTCATTAATTTCAGCAACTCAGCTGCTTTATCTTCTGAGAAAACATCTTTATAGTTTCTTAATCATTTAAATACTTCTGTCAGAACTTGATTATCATCTGACACAAAAATAGTATAAGAGAGTTCATTTCTGATACATACCACTTAGAGAAATCTATCTGTATTCAGAAGTTCTACTATTTTCTTTAAGAGTTAGTAATATCATATCTTGTTCTTCCAGTCTATATCTGGGTTGAAATCTTCTAACTACAGCATGTCTAGAACTATATTTATGTTGATTATGTCAATCATCACAAACATATATTTTACCATCTTTGTGGTCTTTATGAAGTCTATTATAGTGAGTTAGATCTTGTAAATACTATATTAATCAGTCTCAGCTCTATTCAATATCTTAATGACTTTCATAGACATCTCTGGTTGATCTCAGTTTAATTAAGATGCCAGTTTATAAGAGATACTGTTCACTGTAGTACCTGAGTTCAACAGTGCAGCTTGCTCTGTAAGATTATCTGATAGTGTAGTCAGTATAGTTAACAGACACATACTGTACTTGCTTGCCTTCTTTATTAAGTTAACATCTCATTTTTCTAATATTTGACCTGGGTCTTGTATGAGCTTTCCAGTTCTAGTCTTCATCCAGTTCTTATTTTTTTTATCTGTCTGCTGGAACTTGTTAAAGCCATTTATACAGAACTTTACTCTATGGTCTGGTTAGCCATATCTTAGATAGAGTTCTTTATTTATTCATTGTTTGTGTTTTTCTTCTGATATTTTTGAAAGTGGTTTCACCAGCATCTTCTTTATTTATGAATAATCTTCTTTGTTGTCTTGTTGAAATATATTTTTTTCTTAAGAGATTGAGATTTTTTATTTCTTCTTATTTTAGTTCTTGTTCCACTGACTTTGCTTCTTCTTTTCTAGAATGGACTTAATAAGCATCACTTGTTCTCATAATTCCATAATCATTTTTGATTGGTGTTGCAGTTTATTTAGTTTAGTTCAGATGATTGATCTGAGCTTCATCTATAGAAGAAGTATGCAAAAGAATTTATCTGATAGATTGTCCAGATTCTGTTTGAGTTCAGCAATGTACATAAAAAACAAGAGTATAGATTGATTCTCTTATTGGATAGTATCATGATAATGCTGCATCATACATTAACTATAAGTTATCTTGAGTTCAATATTATTCTTACACCATATCTTGAATTTGTTTCATGATATGGATAGTTATTCTCTCTCTATTTCCAACATCTGTTAATGCATCTGGAATTTATTATAAAAATAGCTGGATACTCAATCAATTCTGACCACATCTAGTGCTTTTCATAATGATTTTCTCAGGTGAAACTGCTGTTTCATTAAAGCTAATTACAATTTGCACTCATTAAGTGATTTGCCATGATAGTAAGATGCTTTTGAAGACTTTACATCATTAAAATTATCTGACTTCTCTATCAGTCATGTACATAAGAAGAACTCTAAAGAGAAATCATCATTTATTATTCTCTGTTTATATTCTATCTGCTTTTGCAGCCTGCATATCTTATTTTGTTCACATATGTCTGCTAGATTCTTTTACAGATATGTCTTCTTTTCTTTAAAAATCTTCTCTCTTCAGGTTTTATTTAATGTATTAAGAGATGTATCTTTATTGTCTATATTATCTGCTGGTGTCTTGCTGGTGGTAGCTCCACTGCTACCAGCATCTTTATTAATGTTCATCTTCTCCATATTAATGTCTATCTTTGTCAGATCCACAATATGGGGTGTTGTTATAATTTATCTTATAAGTCTTGGTAGTATTATACTGACTTAGGCAATCATATGTCAGAGTGTTCAGAATGTTAGGAGAACTGGTTATAAATTACATAGATTTTTCCAAAATTAGGGGTACAAAAGAGCTAAGTAGATATAATATTTACAACTGATGGGAGGAAGTCATGCATAGAATATAGAAGTTCTCTAACTAGAAGACTGAATGCTGGGGTTTCCACAATTCATGCAAATTATGTGATTCTTATACATTCAGAGTTGGGATCACATGAATACCTCTGAACATCTGATATTGTCTGATGCTTGATTGGTCTAAGTCTACATTTGTAACAGTATTCCAAATCTAGAACAATCTACAAAGCCTATATCAGGTCCTCTCCTAACAATAACTTATAGTCAAGACACAATGCAGTATTATCATAATACTGTCCAACGAGAGAACCAATTCATACTCTTGTTTTTCACATATATTGCCAAACTCAAACAGAATCTGAACAGTCTACCAGATGAATTCTTTTGTATACTCTTTCTACAGACAAAGCTCAGATCAATCATCTAGGCTGAACTGGATAAACTATAATATTAATCAAAAACAGTTACAGAATTACAAGAACAAGCAATGCTTATTGAGTTTATTTTAGAAAACAAGAAATAAAGTCAGTGAAACAAGAACTAAAATAAGAAGAAATAAAAAATCTCAATCTCTCAAGAAAAAGATACATTCCAACAAGACAACAAAGAAGATTATTTATAAATAAAGAAAATGCTGGTGAAACCACTTTCAAAAATATCAGAAGAGAAACACAAACAATAAATAGATAAAGAGCTCTGTCTAAGATATGGCTAATCAGGCTATAGAGCAAAGTTCTGTATGAACAGCTCCAACAAGTTCCAGCAAACAGACAAAAAGAACACAAACTGAGTAAAGACTAGAGCTATAAAGATCATGCAAGATCCAGATCAAATATTAGAAAGACAGAGTATTAACTCAATAGAGAATGCAAGCAGGTGCAGTATGTATCTGTCAGCCATACTAACTATATTATTAGATAGTCTTACAGAGCAAGCTGCACTGTTAGACTCAGGTACCACAGTAGACAGTATCTTCTACAAACTAGTATCTCAATTAGACTGGGACCAACCAGAGATATCTATAAAAGTTTTTAAGATATTAAACAAAGCTGAGACTGATTGGTACAGCATCTACAAGACCCAACTTACTATAACAGACTTCATGGGAATTATAAAGATGATAAGATGTATATTTGTGGTGATTGATATAGTCAACATAAATATAGTTCTAGGCATGCTGTAGTTAGAAGATTTCAATCTGAATATAGACTGGAAGAATAAGATACAGTATTACTGACTCTCAGAGAAAATAGTGAAACTTCTGAATACAGATAGATTTCTTTAAGCAGTGTATATTAAGAACAAACTCTCTTATGCTATTTTTATATCAGATAACAATCAAGTTCTGACAGAAGTGCCTGAGGGATTGAGAGACTATAAAGATATTTTCTTAGAAGAAAAAGTAGCAGAGTTGCCAGAATTGATGAAGATCAGTTACTTAATTATTCTTAAAGACAGCTGCAAGCTCCTACACATACTAATCTATAAACTATTGCTCAAGCAAACAGAGATTCTATAAGAGTACATCAAGAACAAGTTATGCAAGAGTTGAATATGTCTGTTATAAAGTTCAGCAGAGACTCCAGTATTGTTTGTATTCAAGACTGATGGAGGACTCAGACTCTATATTGATTATTATGATCTTAATGCAATCACAGTGAAGAATTATTACACTTTGCTGTTGATAGATAAGATATTAAGCTGGTTGGCAGAAGCATGCTACTTTTCCAAGATAAATCTATATAATGTCTACCACTGGATTAGAATCAAAGAAGAAGACAAATAAAAGACCATATTTTGTATAAAGTTTAGGAGTTTTGAGTATCTTGTTATGTCTTTCAGATTATTAAATACACCAGTAATCTTCCAGTCCTATATTAATAAGGCACTGGCAGGCCTGATTGATGTATGTTGTGTAGTTTATCTAGACAATATTCTTATCTTCTCTGTCTCAGAGAAAGAGCACAAGAAATACATTAGACTAGTTATAAAGTATCTAAGAGAATACCAGTTGTTTGCAAAGCTTGCTAAGTGTACTTTCAGAAGATGAATGATCTCATATCTCAGATATATTATTGATAATAAAGATATTAAGATGGACTCAAAGTAAGTACAGATAATCATAAAGTGGTCTCTGTTATGAAGTTTTCATAATATTCAAGTATTTCTGGGTTTTGCAAACTTCTATCAGAGATTTATATAAAAGTACTGAGAATATCGATGTGACGGTTAGCCAGCGGCCGAAAACGGCCGTTTTCACTGCTGTTTTTGGCCTCCTGCTAACCGCCGTCCCTCGATAATCACGTGGCTCAATCCACACGGCCATGGCCCTTCCCTCCACGCACGGCCACAACTTTTCTCCTACTTTGGTGGCCTTCACCCTCACTCACCCGTTCAGTCACCCGCTCAGTCACCTCCGCCGGGGGGAGCCTGAATTGACTGAGCGTCAAAAATGGCTCCCCTTGACCACCATGTTCCGCCGAGTTCTGTTCCCAGCATGCCGCTCGTCTCCTCCTGCTCCTGTCCTTCCTCCTGCCAGTCCTTCGCAGCACCGCATATCTTGCACTCGTCATGTCTTGCACTCGTCCATGAAAGCACTGCCCATCTCAGTTCCTCAGTTCAGGTTCTCTCCTCGCTGCTCGCTGGGCCATCTTGAACATGGCGCCTCGCTCTCAACCCGTCGGACCTGATGATAAAGATAGTCAGAGCAAGAGCGATGCCAGCGCCGTGCTGGATTCGATCTTTTGGGACAGTGGATATGAAAGTGGCTCCTATAGCAACCCCAGTGAGGATGAGGATGACAGTGACAATTCCGACGACGATGCCTTTGATGAGGGCCAGCTCCCTCCTGAACACTACCTCGCCCAAGCAAAGAGTCTGGATGTCTCTCAGCTTCGACAGAAACGGTACAGTGAACAGACTGAGGAAAAACTTGAGGAGACCCGCATGTACTGGAAGAGGTAGATAACCCTCCCCACCTCCCATACAAGCTGAAGGCTTACAGGCGGCCCTGTGACAGGCATTGTCGGTACATTGGCGTTGACCCAGTGAAGCATTGGCGATGGATCTCAGACTCAGATGAGACGGTTTGTTTCCTCTACGCATTCTTCAGCTGGCGGTGCGACATCCGTCGTGGCAAGAATGGTCGACACTGCCCAGGCATCCAGTACAAGAGCTCACTCGAGACTTTTTGGAAGTCGTGGCATCTGGTTCTCAAACAGGAGACCAACTCAGGACTGAGCAAAGCTACGATTGTCAAGATAGATGATGTGGGTGACCAATTGTCAATATACTCTAGCTTAGAAGTAAAGAAACAGCCCCTAATTGCTTGCAGGTCATTGCCCTTGTGGCCAAAGAGAAATGCCTCGAGCTCATCCGGAAACCAAAGAAAAACATGTATATTGAAGATGTGGCTGAGTACGCACGTGTTCTCCTAACCACCACTGAGATGACATTCATCTGCGGCTGGCAACGCATTCAAATGCTTTTCTTCGTGCAGCTTGCGGCCATCACTGCCAGCCGCCCAGGGGCGCTCCTCCACCTTCGCTATCGGGACATAATGTTATCCCTGATCCGAGATCCGGAGGGTGGGCGCCCTCGATTATTCATATTCTTAAAGCCGGACTTTACAAAGAGGTTCCTGGGGAAGAAGGCTCCGTAGGTGTCCCTGATTTATTGCTCCTAAGTGTTGACTGACTGAATTGGGTAGGAACGAGTTTAAGATTCCAGAAATCATTTTCGATCCCACTCTGATTCTCAGTCCGCATGTCTGTCTGCTCAGTATGCTCTTTTACATTGACGGCTTCAAGAAAATTTCAACAACTGGACCAGTGCTGGATTCTGCGGAAAAACTGTACAGTCTCACAGTGCTGGAGGGCAAGGGACAGCAGGAGTTGCGATTAAAAGATGAATTGCTGGATAAGTTTGTGTTTTGCCAGGTGGAGCGGACACCTACTGGATTTCAAATCAACCTGGAGAAGCGACTGTTAGCATCCACTGTGACATCCCGGATGCGCCGATGTGGTGAGATCACAGGCTTTGAAGAGATCGCCCACCCGTACAATCTTCGATATGCTGGGGCCAAGGCCTTCAACAGCAGTGGTAAGTATCCCCTAGTCTCTCTTATATCCCAGGCTAGCCAGATAGCTAACCCAATCAGCAGAAGAGGTCACGGATGCTCTCCAGAATGTCATCCTCCAGCACTCAGATATCCGTACTTTCGTCCGACATTATGAGGTGGATGTTGATGTTGATGTACAGGGCATCGTCCGTAAAACAGGTTCCCAAACACCATTGGTTCGATTTGCTTGTTCAATGAGCGCATCTATTGACCCGAATCGACCGTATAAGCTCTCCACAGAAGAATCTCGGTCCATCAATCTCCTCCCGGAGGTTCTTGCGCGGCAAGATACAGTCAATAAGCGCAAGCAGGAGTGGGAAGATTGCAAAGCCAGGCTAGAACGTGCCAATACAGCATTTCAAGCCCATTTTGGCCATCTTAACAAAGAAGAGCTTTCCAAGTACCACTCCCAACTACTGGAGAAGCTGGAAAATCTCCAGGATCGGACAATGGACGCTAAACATAAGTACAACAGAGCAGTCCGCGAACTGCGTAATGAGAAGCAACGACAGCGGAACCGACTCATCCGAGCAAATCTGAAGCGCTATCGAGATGAGCAGCCTGTGATTGATGTTGAACGGCAGCTGGCCGGGAAGCTAGTGGATACCAAGGTCATGGAAACACTGGAGCACAAGAGCTTCATGCCTCCAGAGCATCTGATCATGGTTGATGCCATCCTGTCCATGCCGGGCGCCACCATTGAAGCAGAGTATCAGCGCCGGATCAACGCGATCAACGCAATGGCCGCATTCTGCCGCATGGAAGAGGGACGGCCCACACTCCGACCAACCCCATCTCGCCACCGGCCCGTACCTGATGGCGACGACCCTTGCCCTCCCGCCAAACGGCAACGGCGCTCAGTGGAGGATGACACTGAGATTCTTCTACGCCAAGCAACGGAAGCCGTGCGGATCAAGTCTGAAGACGACCGGCCACAGGTCTGCTTTCTCTGCGTCGGAAACCCCAATCTGTCGCTGAAGGGCCGGATTACAAAATACGCAACACCTGGTTCGCTTACAAGGCATTTCTTGCGGAAACATGTGAACCCTCCCTGGCCAGCCAAAGGGGTTGAATGTAATGTTTGTGAGAGGGAGGTGCTACAAAAGAAATCTGATCTTTTGAGTCACGCAGAGGTCGCCCATGGAACAGTTGTACGAGGAGGTGCTTTTATTGAAAGATTGCCGTAGAGCAGCGCGCCTGTACAATTATAATACTGGAGTAGATTTTAGATGGAATCTCTGATCATTGAATATTTCTAGAAAGTGAGAACACTTGAACAAGAATACTATTGGGGAAGAATGCCCCTCCCCTCTCAAAAAAAGAAAGGCTGGTATGCGACACGCAATGGGCCTGATCTCTGGGTTGCGGGCGCCTTTGTTCTTTGTACACTAGTCTCTTTGTAGTCTAGCTTATTACACCCACCTGGCTGTGAGGCTGAAAATTGCTGAGCACTGCCACTGAACTGCAAGGCAAGAGGGGGAAGCCAACAAAGCATGGGTGGCCAGTCTTGGCACTCACCCTGGCTTGATGCTCTTTTTTGCGCATGAAAGTTGTGAGACTCAGCCGCCTTGGCTGCCTGGGCAGAGGTATATAGAGCGCAGCTTCACCCATCAGATTGTCCAACCCAAATATCTGCATCTCATTTCACCCCTCAAATCTGGTCGGCCTCCAACACCATGATGCACAGCTCTAGGACCTTCAATGATTTCCCTCGATCTACACCCAGCCTGACTCTACCTAGCCTGACTCCGACCAGGATTCCAAGACAAATATACGATGAACTGAACTCCTCTCCAACCAACTATGGTGGTGTCCTGCAAGCTCTGTTCACCCTGGCTATTCGTGCGAGCCGGGATAGTGTCTGTTGGTTTGAAGATTGCTGGGAGGAGTTTGGGAGAAGGGGCCTGGCGGAGCTTCTGATCCCTGTTGGGAGAGTATTGGCCTTGGCATATGCTGCGGCCGGGCGGGAGGATGAAGCTACTGACCTCCTTTCAAAAATATGGAACGGGGCTGCTCCCTTTGGGTGGTCCGCACCACATGCTACCAAAGGCACGAGGTTTAGCCTCACCTCTGGGAGGCAGGAGAGACGACCGACACTATACCCACTCGGGAAGTCGATTTTGCAGTTGACCTGTGCCAAAGATGGGGACAATCAACAGATGGAGGAGGAGTTGAGAGAGCTTCAGCCTCGTTACGACAAGCTTCAAACTGCGGTCATCAAGGGGGTGGATATGTATCTCGATACTGCACCTTATGATGATGTGTCGGGTGATTTACGATTGCACGGTTTCTGGTTTTCAGATAACATGACCTTTCGAGTGAGGGGATTGCATGGTTTCTGGTTTTCAGATAACATGACCTTTCGAGTGAGGGTCACTGACTGGCCACGACCGTTCCCCTTGGGGAAGCCGCTAAGTCGTGCTCGAAATCCAGCCTTGCAGAGAGAGTTGAGAAAACGGTTGGAAAATGCTGGTGCAAAGATCCTGGAAAAGGAGGTAAGTTATCAATGTTCACGCTTTCTCAGTCTGCAGCTGACCATGGCAATCTTAACGCAAGTGATCCCCACCCCATGCAGTGGCCGATGAGGAGGAATGGGTAACCGATATGTAGGAGTAAGTGACCGATATGGAGGAGTGGCTGAACAAGGCAAGGAAGGGATGAACAATTTGGAGGGAGAACTTGTGGTACATGATGTGTAGTTGGCTGTGGGAGCTGGTTGTGTCATACTAGGTGATAAATTGAAGGTTCAGAGGCCTTGTTTTTGGTTGTGTCAGGGACCCTCAATCCCTTAGCTAATTCTTATAGTCTTTCCATCTTGAACTATTATCAGAAGCATCGCCAACAAGATAAGGTAATTGGATTTTACTTGGACTGTTTACATCTACATTCAGGGCTTCCTATCCTATGCACCACTAGCGGCAGTGAATTCGGCGCTACAGAATGGGCAGCGGGCATGGGTGCCATGATGAATGCTTGAGTTGAGGTGCTGCAGGAAGGCTCATCCGCATGCAATGAATCTCATCATGGAAGTGTAAGAAGCTTTATCTTATACTCCAATCGATGGCCGTCATAGCCACGGGGCCGTTTGACCACACAGCCTCTCCAATCTTGTGGTCTCTTCAACCATATGGCTTCTTTGGCCTTGAGGTCAAACAGGCTGTTGAATATCGCTGTGGCTGAACATCACGGTGGCTGAAGATTGTGGCTGGGGCTGGAAATAGATATATAGACTGTCCCACCTCATCAAACATCGGGACAAGCAAGGAATAACAATCTCATCCTCAGAACCTATTTTCAACAGGTTATGAGCCCGGACCACTTCGGCTGTGCCAACATGCTCCTTTTCAAATGGCTAAGTTTCCCCTCTCTCAACACGATAGTCCCGTCAGTTGAATCACTTAACTGACAGCTTTTAAGGACTATGGGCACAGTGTTGGTCTTGATGGCTCTGAAGACTCTGGAAGAACCAGATGGTTTATCTCTCTTCTCACGACCCCGCACCCTCTCGGTCCGAGCAATATTCGAGTATGACGTGGCAGAACGTCACAACCCCTCCGTGACAAGAGGCGTCAGACCAATCATCAGATGACATGTCATGTTTGATGACGATGAACGAATCACAACGTACCGATCATCGTATCATATGCACTTTGAAAACACGGAATTAATACTGGCATCTCGATTCGCGTCGGTCGACAATTTATATCAGCCTCATCGCAACTTTCAGATCTCACACCACACAATGTCATCTCGAGTCCCACTTCGGTTTCAGAAAAGACATAGGCATTTTTGGACGGAGAAAGAACTGAATCTGCTTTCACATCTCCGAGAAATACATAACTGGGATTTCCAGCGAATTCGAAAGTCATTTTTCCCATTGCTCTCCTACCACGCTGTCCGCAAAGCCCACGGTCGTATGTCTGTGGAAGAACGCAACAGTCGGGCATCAATTATCTTTTCAAAGCGACGGAGTGCTTCTGACGTCAACGCAGCCTGCTCCAATCTTGGACCTTGTCACCTTCATACTTCTACTTCTGTTCCCCGTCCAATTATTCAGTCCGAAAGCACTACTAGAGCCTCTATCACATCCCTATCGAGTTCCGAGGACGACACGGCAATATCCAACCGTAGGATCGGAAAACGCTATAATCTTCGACCAAACAGGCCTACAAAGTTCTTACAAAGACAACCTCAGTATCGAGTTGATCGCCGTCATTTCCCTCACTTCTTCAAATCATACAAGGATCACCTGGAGTCGGACGGATTACCAGACAGAGACTACAGTCCTTCATCTCATACTCCTACGCCAGAATCGTCAGACCGCAGTCCCTCTATTGTATCAACCCAGCTCAGTAACACATCAAGCCTTGACCTTTTCGGTCTAGAGCCACGTTCCCCTAGGTTGTCAAGCCCCGAGCCGTCTATAAACTCAGATCCGCCTATTGACATATCAAGCCCAGAATTCTTCAGCGCTGAAGAACAACCTCCTTCACCATGACTGATGTTGCAAAATTTGAGCAGTTTGGCCTCAACTCATTTTATAATGCTATCCCCACACTTGATAATGCCAACAACTGGTTTAAATGGAACCAGAAGGTCAATGAGTTCATCTGAATTTCTGCTGTTGCCGATGACGGAGCGACTCCGCCAGTGGAAGAAGAGGAAGCATGGCAATGGATCCACCGTCAAAGGTTTTACTCCGCAATGATTACGGCCAAATTGACACATGATGCGGCACAACGGATCAATGCCTTTGATATCACTCGAGTACAGTCACTCCTCAAAGCAGTCAAGGATAACTTCAAGCCTGAGGGATCTGGAACCTATGTACAGCTCCAGAGACGATACTTGTCCCTCACTAGAGCAGCATGTGGGAGTGCTCAAGCTCTTGGAGCTGAAATCAGGAAAATTCATGCAGAGAAGCTCCTCCTCGACTCTGCCTGTGTCACTTCCGAGATTGAGCGAATATTCTTCTTTCTACAGGCATTGGGCCCTGAATATGAGAGTTTCTGTGATCATATATTCAGACAAATGGACCTTGTCAATGAGAGGGATGAGAATGGAAAGGTTACAAAACCAGCTCCTACCTTTGACTCCATTGAAAACAAGGCGATTGAAGAAGAACACAGAAAGGGACAACTAGGCAGGCAGTCAATGGACACGCAAGCGCTTTCTACCTTCGCTCTGACACAAAAGTCTATGGACAGAAGAATCACACCTTCATCGGATGGAACCACGTGCCTAATTGAGATTTACAATGTTCCATACTGCTCCTTCTGTCAAAAACCTTACCATGGAGAGCCTGATTGTTTTAAGAAGAATCCAAAGTTAAAGGATCAGCGAAAGGACGTCAAGGGACGCAGGGCGAGGCCAGGAAATTCACAGACAAATACGCGCAAGTCATTAAAACAACGAGCTGGTTCTGATAATGAGGATGATGAAATTGGTGGCCCAAGGGATCCGAAAAAGCCCACCTTTATGGCAGCGACGGCCTCAGAGGGGGATGTGAACACCGTGTTCGGAAAGGACATTGAAGGAAATCTTGCCCTATTCAATCACACCCTAGCAATGGTAGCTACAAAGACTCCATCAATTCGTGATGCTTGGATTGTCGACAGTGGGTGTGCTCAGCACATCTGCAATACTGCTGCCAGGTTTGTTCAAATGGACAAATACTTCGGACCACCGCTGAGAAGCGTTGATGCCTCCACGACCCCATCGGGGGTGGGAACAGTGAATATCCTGTGCGACGTACGAGGCAGACGGAAATGGCTTGTCCTTGATAATGTTCTCTTCGTCCCCTCTGCACACGCAAGCCTCATATCTGTGCTCCAGCTCCTCAAAAGGGGGGCAAAGGTTGAGTTCTCAAGCCAAGGCGCCAGTATTCGCAACAAATCAAACTGAAAGAACCTGTACACCGCAAGCCAGTATCACAGGGTCTATGCACTTGATCTCTGGGTAAATCACAGCTTTCCTGCCTATCACGTCAGTCGACAAATGACTCTCTGGCACCATCGACTGGCTCATATGAGTGATGCAAATCTACAACGACTCAAGACACAGGCTCATGGCGTCCGGGATATGGAACCACGCCAACCCTGCAACCCATGTCTCCAGGGACGCATGACTGAAAAGCCTCACAGTTCCTCAAATAAAAGGGGGGAGTATGCAATGGAACTCCTTCATATTGATGTTGCTGGTCCATTTGACGAGGGCTTAGACGGCAGTCGCTACTGGCTCACCATTGTTGACGACTTTACGGGCTGGATAGAGATCATCCCCATACCACGACGACAGGAGTTTGTTATAGAATCACTACGCTTCTTCCTCGATCATAACGAGCGTCCTGAACGTAAATGTAGACGAATACGACTCAATTGGATCCCTGAGCAAGTGGGAGAAGAAATGAAATTTATGCTCTTCTCACAGGCAATCCACGCCGAAATCACGGGAGTCGACCAACATCAACAGAATGGAGTTGCTGAAAGAGCGCACAGGACAATCTATGACAGAGTCAGTCCAACATTGGCACATGCAAAGCTGTCTTTCAAATTCTGGCCAGAGATTGCTCGAACTGCAGCATTCCTGTCTAATCGATCGCCATCATCCAAACTCAAAATGACTCCATATCAGGCCTGGTATGGTGACAAACCGGATCTGTCACAACTTAGAGTGATTGGCTCAAAGGGAGAATATCTGATCCCACCCAAGCAGAGAAAGAAACTCTTGGACCCAAGAATGAGGCCATGTCTTCTGCTAGGATATGAAGGGAACACGAATTACCGTATCCTGCTAGAGGACGGCAGAATCATTGGGACTCCAAATGCTGAATTTCAAGAAGTCCTAAACACTTCCTCCACACAGACTATAAAAGATGTGGGAGTGGTACAAGACGACTCACCTGTGGCAACAGCTGCTGCCGCAGGGGGAAGTGAGATGGTAGGACTATTAAACCAACCGTCAGTAAGTGTACGGCATGCATCCATGCCAGCCTCAGGACGTCAAATGTCCATGATACCACGAGAACAAAGACTGCCTCAATCGGGAAGCGACAATGTACAAGAGCAGATGTCTCAGTTGAGTGATGAGAACTCACAGCCTGTTGCTGGACAAGAAGACAGAACCTTTTCGCCCACATGGAGTGAGGATGTCTTTGGGCCATTTTCGGATGCTCCGCGGGATATTGCTCATGAAAGCGACTCACCAACCAGCAGTGATCAGCAACAAGACAATGCTCGACAAGGTCAAAGATCAGGAGATAGGCTACAATATGCAGAGCTCCAAGTTGATCGCCCGGAACACACAGTGCAGCAAGAAACACTTGAACATCACCCTGAACTAAGGGTTCGTTTCTCGGAGACCACGCAGGATGCCTCCACTGAGAGTGAAGAAGAACTCGCGCTGATGAATATACCTGAAGCAAATGTAATTCCAACATTCCTAACAGTAGCTGCAGAAGAAACGGAACCTTTTGAACCAAAAACCCTTTGGCAAGCAAAGAGCAGCACCAGCTGGCCTGAATGGGAGAATGCAATGACTGATGAAGTCAACTCGCTCAAGCAAAATAAGACATGGGAACTTGTTGATCCTCCGAAGGACCGACGGATCCTTAGTGGAAAGTGGGTCTTTAAGGTCAAACGAGGACTCAATGGGGAGGTCGTCCGTTACAAGTGCCGATGGGTGGTAAGAGGCTTCACACAACAAGAAGGCATCGACTATGACGAAACATTTGCATCTGTGGTCAAGCCAATGAGCTATAAGGCTCTGCTCGCAATCGCAGCAGCCTTAGACCTCGAAATCAAACAGATGGATGTCAAAACAGCATTCTTGTACGGGAATATTGATCATGAGATCTATGTCGAACAGCCTCACCACATGACAGATGGTACAACAAAAGTTTGCAAGCTCTGAAAGGCGCTCTATGGCTTAAAGCAAGCTCCTTGGATCTGGTATCAAACCCTCACGAACTTCCTGCGCAACCTTGGCTTCGAACCAATCAACGCCGATCTTGGTATCTTCGTCCGGAGTACTATGTACATCGCAGTGTACGTTGACGACCTCCTGATCGTGGGACCAAGCATTGCAGAGATAAAGAAGATCAAGCGAAATCTCAGAAATCGTTTTCAAATGACAGACCTAGGACCGTGCAGCTACTACCTTGGGATGTCTATCCAGCGAGACCGTCAAAACAGGATACTGTATCTGAGTCAAGAAGCGTATATTGATAAAGTTGTTCATCAGCTCGGAATTAGCAACTGCACCCCAGTTAGCACGCCGGTAGAAACATCACCACTTCCAGAGAATAGTCCAGGATACAGCTGTCCTACAGACCAAAGGATCGCATACCAACGCCTTGTCGGATCTCTGATGTACATTATGCTTGGAACTAGGGGAGACATCGCATATGCAGTCTCTATGGCCAGCAGATACCTAGCAAATCCTGGACCCCAGCACATGAAACTTGCTCAGCGCATCCTGCGGTACCTAAAAGGCACAAAGAGCCTTAGGCTTACGTACAAGGGTCAGCCTCAGAAGTTGAGAGGTTTTACAGACGCGGACTGGGGTGGATGTCACGACACGAGACGATCAACGGCTGGATATCTCTTCAACATTGGGAGTGGAGCTATCAGCTGGCAATTGAAGCGCCAGACTGTTGTTGCTCTCTCAACCTGCGAGGCTGAGTTTCTTGGGCAGACACAGGCGACTAAGGAAGCAATCTGGTTGAGAAGACTCCTCAATGAGTTGAACATGAGCCAAGGGAAGGCTGCTACGATCATTTGTGGAGATAACCAAGGAGCCATCGCTCTGTCCTCGAATCCACAATACCACTCCCGCACGAAACATATGGATATCCAACGGAAATGGCAGGGAGAAATCCAGGATCTTGGAATGGTGGAATTAAAATACATTCCAACTACGGAACAGATTGCTGATGGGTTCACCAAGCCTCTCGCACGAGAACGGTTTGAATGGTTTCGAAGAGGGCTTGGTATTGAGTGACGCTCATGACTTATGACCTTTTGGATAGAGACTAGGGGACCACGGGCACCCTTTCCTTCCTTTTCCGTCAAAGGTTTTTTGAAGGTTTTAACGGGGCTCGTCGCAACCGTGATGAGCAGTCGCTGACACCCTTTGGTGGCGGTTGCCATCGAGTGGGAGTGTTGAATATCGCTGTGGCTGAACATCACGGTGGCTGAAGATTGTGGCTGGGGCTGGAAATAGATATATAGACTGTCCCACCTCATCAAACATCGGGACAAGCAAGGAATAACAATCTCATCCTCAGAACCTATTTTCAACAGAGGCCACAGGGTCAAAAGGACCCTATGAGCGAAGGGACCCTATGATCGAAGGGCCCCATAGCCGTGGTGGCCACAGGCCGAAAGTGGCCCTATGGTCAAAGCACTCACATGGCCCTGGCATCCACCGGCTATTTCGGGTGCCGGATGTCACAGAAATGACGCCAAGAACCCACTAGAAATAGAAGCACTGCACCAAATTATACAGAAGAAGCCAGAAAGCCAGAAAGCCAGAAATGCAGAAATGCAGAAGTTCAAAAGTATCCAATTGCTCATTGATTATTATGGCCACCAAATACACACAATTAGAGATCATTCACCATCTCAATGCAAGCCATTTTTGGCACCCAGTGGGCCACAAAAAGAGGGCGCCAAAAGTGGCCTCTTCCATCAAGAGCCACGAAAAGAGGGTGCTAGAAGTGGTCTCTCCTATGGCTTAAATTCAGGCTCCTGCTTCATTCTGTGTTCCAATTCAAATCTCTATTGCCTCAGAATATTACCCCAGGATGCAATTGCCCAAGATTTCCAGAGTTACAAAACCACATCAGTCCAACAAGCAGTCAAGCTTGCAACAAAGTCAACACCGCTTAAAGAAGACCCTAGTCAAAAAGCTATGGGAATATAATATTAAGTGTGGCAGTGATGTCTATCTTGTCATTGCTGATCACATGGGTGATGATGTGGTTTGATTTTTTACCACAAAGTTCATGGTGGACCAACAGTTGACTGAAGGCTTCCCGCCTTCAGAAAAAAGTCTTGTATGATGCTATGGTTCTTGTCTTTGTACTATAAAACCTCTGCTGATCAATAATAGAACAGACATTATCCTCCCCCAAAGCGAATAACATCAGAAAATTACCCCCAGTCAGGAAAGTGCTCGAGACCTACCGAAGATAGCTGTCACGGCCAGCCCTGCCAATCGATCCATGCAGGGTCCCAGAGACCCTTTGTTCAGAACTCCCAGTCAGTGCAACCTCAAAGATCCTGATTAGGATCTGAGATGTAGCTTCCCCCATTTACCTAGGAGCTCATATGTATAAGAGGAGGAAGCAGAGGACCTGATTTATCTCTTCCTTTTTCTTGCTTATCCTTATTCTTCTTCGTGGTGTACGTAGCTAGAACAATAGTCAAATACTCTGGATAGTATGCTCAGGAGAGCAAAGCAGGCTGAAGATCGACTTCATGAGGAACAAAGACTGAATGGGCTATGTTTCAATTGTGGAAAACCAGGTCATATCGCCAAAAACTGCAGGAAAAAGTGTTATGAAGTATGATGGATGAAAGTTCCGAATGACTTTTGCTAGATTTGCATTGATTTTATTGATTTTTTGCGGCGTTCGTTCAAGCTGAGGGGTATGTTGACCTGGAATATTATTATTCCATTCCTTTTTATGCTTGGTCAGCTTTCTCTCACTGATTCTTGCCTACGTGTAAACACTGTATGGAGAGAACCGCTCCAGCTCGAATTCACTGGCATGCTGATGAACGCCCAAGTAAACTTGAACACCTTCCCCATTATTGATCTCTGGCCTGCAAGCCAGCATGGCAGAGCCAGACCCGAATCTGCATGTTTGATTTCCGCAATAATCAACTTCTGCATTTCGGCACTTTTGTGGCCGGCTAAGCGCCAAGTTAGGCGGGACCCCCCGGGCCCTTGCTACCCCCGGGACTCTACTACCCCCGGGCACTCACTACCCCCGGGTCTTTACTACCCCAGGGACTCTTACTACCCCAGGGACTCTACTACCCCCGGGCACTCACTACCCCCGGGTCTTTACTACCCCAGGGACTCTACTACCCCCGGGCACTCACTACCCCCGGGTCTTTACTACCCCAGGGACTTTACATCCAAGGACGATACTATGGCGAAGAGAGTATTGTGTGCAGATCAAGCAACGACATCAGCTCCCTGCAAGTCATCAGAATGTTCTGGCTTGTGCCACACTTTGTCACCAGCCAGAATGGAGAATGGCACAAGCTAGGATAAGGATACCTAGAATTAAACAAGTCTGAGCTTCAGAACATTGGCATATGCCACGCCGTAAGCTTCAGAAACTGCGGTTGATTGATTGATTGATTGATTTATTCATAGACTGTCCCAGCCGCCCTCAGGCAGCTATGCAGCGTACAACTCTAGATACAGGTGTTCTAGCCAGAAACTTAGCCCTTCCTGCAGGAATTGTTCTCCGCGATCAAACAGATATTCCTGCATGAAGGTGCTTCTTTTCTGCTCGAATTCGCATCCCTCTACCAAAGTTATCTTGAGCGTTCTGTGTCTCTGCCTTGTTAGGCCTTTCCTGGCCCTCCTTTACTTCTGTTTACCTATAATCACTCGAATGCTAGTTATATCGGAGTACTGTGGAAGGGACTGCCTGGAATTGCCCCAGGAGCCCTGTCCTCAAGATCATCTTTGCTGCTTGTACCGCCATTGCTGAGCTGCAGAGAATGCGTTTGATGTCCACACATGGAGGTTTGCCTGCCCACATTTGTTGCCGTTCGTATGCCCAGTCTCGGCATTCCAGAAGGATGTGTCGCACGGTCTGTGGTCCATACCCACATTGGCACTTGTCAGTGTCGGCCTTGTTGATGGAATAGAGGTAGGTACGTAGGCCAATCTTGCCTGTGCGCATCTGTGTGATTGCTGAACTGATTGCTCTGTGTGTTCCACTGTGTGTGTTGAGTATCGCTTTTCCCGGCCGGATCCCAAGTCTGAATAGCTCTCTGCCGTGTTTAGCATTTTCCCAGGATGTCTCCCATTCATGTTTCATCCTTTGGCGGATGGTGGATTTTGTGGTTGCTGTTAGAATCCGCAAAGGGTCTGTTTCTGGGAGCCGTTCGATGTTTATTCCTGGGTCCACGCCAGTGGCCTCCTTTGCCATTCGGTCTGCTTCCTCGTTACCTGGCACCCCAACATGTGCTGGGATCCACCGGAATTGCACTTCCCACCCGAAGTTCCGGAGCATATCGAGTGCTTGTATAGCTTCAAGGAGGATATACTGACCTGATGAATGCTTGGGGTTCCGTATTGCTTGGATGGCGGCCTGGTTGTCGGTAAAGATAGCGCATTTCCTAGGGGTAGCGCCGGTTGCATGGAGGTCGAGTATGATTTCCAAGGCTAGCACTAGGCCCCTGAGTTCCGCCGCATACACTGTGGAGGTGCTGGATGGGCCCATGTATTGAGTCCGTTTTGTGTAGCCGCCATTAGCCTGGAGTGAGGGCGCCACTGCAGCTGCTCCAACATGGTTGTTGATACCACTTCCATCAGTATAGATACAAATTGTTGCCGGTTCTATAGTGTTGTGTTCTTTGATTGCTTCCTCCGCAGAATCCTTTATGCAGATAAATGGGGGAGTCCACCATGGCGGCACAACATGTGGTTGGCGCTTCTCGAGTCGGTTGAGCTGTACATTGTATTTGTGTTCCAGGATGCTCGAGAAACGGTCGAGGGGACTTTGCGTATCGCTTCTTCTGTTGTCACCTCCAGGCACAGCCATGTCGTTATGTAGCGGGGAGGTTCGCATGCGCATTGTTGCTTCCAGTGCAGTCTGTTCGAGTTGCTGTTGTACTGGAAGCAGGTGCGCTTCTACGTCCACTGCTGCCCCAGCTGTTGTCTGGAATGCTCCAGTGATGATTTGGGCTGCACGCCTCTGGATCCTTCTGATGGCGTTTATCATGGCGCTGCCTCGGCCCGTGTAGCCGGTGCCGGGGATATACCATGCGGAGCAGCCATAGAGCATCTGAGGTATGATCATTGCTCTGTATACCTGCCGGAGATTGATTGCCCCTGTTCCCCACGTCGAGGATGCCAGGGCTGATAACGCTGCGAGTCGTTTCGTGGCTCCCGCCTCTACCTTCTCGCGGTGGTAGTCCCATCGGAGCTTGGTATCCATGTGGATGCCCAGGTAGCGGCATGACGGGGAGGCCGCAACTGTGGTGTGTGGTAGGCGCAGGGCATGCGTGCTGTTTGCCTTTGGGTCTCTTGTAAAGTGAACGAGTTCGTACTTTGCTGGCGCGAACTGGGAGCCATGTTTTTGGGCCCATGATTCGGCTCTTTGGTGGATTTTCTTGAGGGTTTTGCAGTTGCGCTGTGCGGTTGTGCCTACTGCCAGGATCGACACATCGTCAATGTATCCAACTGCCTCTGTCTCTTCTGTCTTGCATGCTTCAATGAGGTCAGCATTGTAGAATAAGTACAGGATTGGCGAGATAGGCGATCCTTGTGGGATTCCAGTTTGAATGGGGGCTGAGGGTGCAGTATACTCCTGCAGCTTGATAGTGGTGGAACGGCTGCTTAGAAAAGATGCTATCCAGTTTCCAATCTTCTCACTGACCCGGCGTTTTCGAAGGTTATGTAGAAGCCGCTCTCGGGAGACATTGTCGTATGCTCCTGATACGTCAAGCAGGAGTAGGGAGGCCACCTTGCCCTCAGACCATGCCTGGTGTATCCGTTGAAGGAGGAAATGCATGGCATGCTCAGTGGATGCTAATTTCCGACCCCCAGTATGGCGGCTGGGAAGTAATTGGTAGGCATCGGCAATATAGGCGAGTCGGTTCGCTATGATGGCTTCCAGGGCTTTGCCTAGTGTGTTGAGGAGGGCAATTGGCCGGTACGCCTTGGGCTGAGTGTAATCATCCTTACCGGGCTTCCGGAGAACTACTGTGATGGTATCCTTGAAATGCGTAGGACAGTAACCCTGTTCAATGCACGCGTTGAAGAGCTTGCAAAGGCTGGGAAGAAGGATATCAAGTGTTTGATGCAGGATACCATTGGTGATGCCATCCGCCCCTGGCGCCTTGTTTGGGGAGGCTTTGCGCACTGCCTTCTCAATCTCCGCTGTGGTGATGTCCGGGCATTCGATTGGCGAAGGGTACTCGTATCCCTCCTTGATGTCTGTGAGGTCTGCTTGGGGTGGTAGTGGAAAGAATGTCTGGCGGAGCAATTCCGCCTTCTCTTCTGGCGTGTGAGCAGATTCACCGTCCGGTCCCACAAGTGTCGGCGTGCATGCGGGTGTCGCATTGTGCCTGTTCTTAGCCCATTTGACTAGGTTCCAAAGGCCTGACTGTGATGCGGATGCCTCTTCTACTCTCCGCCGATGGTTGTTACGGAGGGTCTTTTGAATATGGCGGCCTTTTCTGTTGCGCGCTTGTCGATAGGCCTCGTAATCCTCATCTCGTCGTGATTGTTGCCATCTGCGGCGGAGTTGCTGGACTTCTGTGCAGATGTCTTTGCATTCCTGATCAAACCCCGTGATTGACCGGGGGGACGGGTCTGACCATGGAGTGGATGCAGCAATACCGGCATCCAGAGCGCGGACGATGGCGGAAACGAGTCTGTCAATACTATCCCTGTCCCTAGGTTCCGTGATGTCGTCTGGTCGGGGTAAGCGTGCCTCGACTGTTTTCCGCAATAATGTCAGGTTTGTCTTTGTCCATAACCGTTTTCTTATTGCGGCTGTCGGCTGCCAGCCCCATTCGAATGCTATGGCGATCGGGAGGTGGTCAGAGTCACAGTCCACCTCCCTATCGATTTTACAGCGAATTACACAGCCTGCCACATCTTCTGAGGCGAAGGTTAGATCAATCGTGGACTCTCCATCCTTCCATCGGTAGGTTGGGGTTCCAGGCTCTGTAAGGAGCTGAAGTTGAAATTCTTCAATGACTGAGAGAAGTTCCTGGGCATTTGGTGTATTGTTTGCGCGTCGGTGTGTTGCTGACCAGAGGGGGTGGTGCAAGTTAAAGTCCCCAAGTACGACAATCTCCTCTTGTGAATCCAAGGCCCTGATCGCTCCTGCCAGGGTGGAAAGCGTATCAGTTCCCACTTCGTTATAGACGTTGAAGATAGAGACTTTTCTGCCCGAGTGGGGGTTGAAGATTTCCAGGGAGATAATGTCCTTGGAGATGTACGAGACGCTCCAAGTACCAGGGTCGATTCGCTTGCTGACGTACATGCACACTCTTGTTGCGGCATCGGCAAGATACATCAGTTGGAAGTGTGTCTTGAGAGGGTGATATGATGTTGCGATAAATGGGTTTCGCCATGGCTCCTGGATTGCCAGGATGTCGTAATCAAGGATTCTGGGGTTTTGGAATAGGCTGGCGAGGACGACGTCTCTTGACTTCCAAACGTTGTACTGTAAGATGTGTAGCTCTCGGTGTCTTAGCATGAGAGAGGTGCTGCTTCGGGACTATGTATGGGGGATCGGGCCCGAGTTGCTCGGGTCCTCGGTTGACGGATCGGGGAGCGGCTCCGGCTTGCTCGGGTTGTTGAACGATGGTGTGATGATTCTGCGCGAGGCTTGTGTATCCATTCAGGGGTAAGGGCGTTATGTTTTCTCCCCTCAAGTTGTACCGTCAGGTTCCTTTCCCAGTATTCCTTTCTCCTTTTCAGGTGTCGGCGCAGTTCAGCAGCCACCGAAAAGTCCTTGCCACAGTACATGCATACCCTCATGCAGTGGGCAATCCTTAACTCAGCATCTCGTGTCGGCCAGTTACTGTATATTTCCTGGTGCTCTGGACATCTGCATGATTTGTATATGTTTCCCTGAGCCGTACGGGTGTTCGTTGCCATGGATGTTGGGATGGACCCTACTGTTCCAGGATCGTGTGCCCAGTCGTTGGCAGGAATGTTCGCTAAATTATCCAACCATTCATTGGCAGCACTCATATCAAACTCCTCCTGTACGGCCTCAAGAGGGTATAGAGGTTGTTGGATTGGTGCCGCTTCCATTTGCGTTTGCGCAGTTTCCGCATTCCAGGTCCCCTCTGCTATCATATCAACCTCCGGGGATTGCTCCGTTGCCAATATCTGTGGGTCAATTGTCGGCTGCTGTAATGTGGGTTCTTGTTGCGACGCTGGTGTTGCCCATTCCTCTGCACCTGGCGTATTGGTTTGTGCTTGTGTTGCACTGGGTTCCGGGAGTGTCTGTGTCTCTTCAGGGGGGATTCTTGTATGTACGGACAGGGGCTCTAAGGTAGAGCCTAGTCGGTCCGAGGGTTCCACGTCCGGGGTATCTGTTATTGTAATAATCCGGTTGGGAGCGGGGTTGCGCGCGTGGTGGTGCTTAGTCCGGGAGTTATCCTTGGGGGGTTCGTCCTTTGGTACAACATGCCAGTAGGTGTTCCGGACCTGCTTAGCTTGCTCAACTCTCTCCATCTCTTTCTTTCTTGCTGGGCAGGCATTGCTCCATGCTGTGTGGTTGCCTTTGCAGACTGTGCATCTGGGAGTGAAGCCTTCCACTCCCTTCTGCTTGCAGTTCTTGGTCTCATGTAGTTCGGCACAATAGCCGCATGCTTGGGCTGCGTCGCATTGAGTGCCGATGTGGCCATAATTATAGCAGCGGAAGCATTGCTTTACTCTGCAGGCGCGGTCGTATAATTGGCATGTATGTATCTGTCCATCCCATGCCATTCCGGCATATATGATGGCGTTAGCCATTTCGGGGTCTGCGAACTCCACCACGATTGAGGACGCGCGTTTGAGGGAGGATTCCCGGGTTAACCATCCCACGTATGTGATCTCTGCCTTGGGAATGACTGTATGGTTGTCTGCGAGTATCTGCTGGATGGTTGCTTTCTGGTCCTTGATATTGATGGTGCTTGTCGAGATGCCATGTACAATGACTCCATAGGTTGGCACAATGAGTTCTGCATGTTCTCCAAGACCACTGATCCACTCTCTGTTCCCTCTGAGCTTTATAGCTTCTGCTGTGGAAGACGTGAAGATCTGTATGTCGCCACTTTTGAGTTGGTGCGCGGCCACCACCGCCACTGACTTGGTAGCCGTGAAGCTTCGGATGGACGTTTCAACTTGTTGTTTTATCTTGACAGCGGAGAGCGTCCGAAAGCGCTGGGCGATCCCGTGGTCCTTGAGTCTGACTGTTATCGCTCGGTCTTTGTATGCCGTGACGGTGGGTTGGGTCTTGGTAGCACGCGCGTTTTGGGGGGCTGGCGGAGGTAGTGCAGGGGCGCCTCTCGCTGCTACCTGCGCCCAGGTTGCAGCTGCCCTGCCTCCGCTGAAGTTGGCGGCATTTGGTGGTGTCGTACTGAGGCCCACGGTGTTTTTGATGATCGAGACATCTCTCTGAATGTTCTGTGTACAGTTCGCAGCTTCCTGAACGTGGCGGAGGATTTCGCTCATCGCAGGTTGCCGGAGCACCTTGCCAACGAGCGCAATGGTGGATTCGATGTATTGCTGGACTATGTTCCATGGTACTTGGTTCTGCCTGCCTTTGTCCACGGCCTGCAATTGATGGCATGCTTCTCGGAGGTATGTGGCATGCTCGTTGATGTGTTCTGGGCCATTGTTTACCTGTGGCCACTTTGGCGCCATTACAACGAATTGAACGCGTTTTCACGCGTCAATTGAAGTAATTGCCAAAGAGGATGTAGGTAGACTGTGGAGATCACAAAATATTACGCGTTTTCAAAAATTTGTTCTGAGCTGGTGGTGGTGTTTTTAACTGTGGTTGCATAAGCTAGGACACACTATATGTTTAATTCTTCACAAGAGGATTTTCTCGAGATAGATACCCCCATAGAACATCTTACCTGAAAGAGTGTTCTTGGTCTGGCCACCTTCATCAGACAAAATAGCTATGACTCACTACACATAGCATGCTACCTATATCTATTCACTTGAAAAAGATGTCACGTCTCAAGCTACTATACAGGAGCGTAATTTCATGAAAGATACTCCCCTAAGAGCTTCTGCTTAAATCAACTCTGTTCCTATGTCAGCATTTATCATGAGGCTACTGACATGTGGGATATGTAGACCTGGAAAAATAATCATATGTATGCAACATTCTCAGGAGCTTCTGGAGGGAGCATTCCCAGATTGCAGCAGTAGAAAATGTTGCAAGCTAGAGTGCACTCCAGAAACATAATGCAAGAACTTAAGATGTGCTTGAATTCAACATTGTTAATTTTTTTTTCATATATTCAGTGGATAGGTGAAAATGTCAAGAGGTTACACCATTTTCTTGGCATCCCTGAGGTGTAAACCTTGGGGGAGGCCATGAAATAAAATCAATAGAAGTGGACTCAGTGCAGTTCTGAGTTTTGCTGAAAGCTCAGAATGATTCCAAGGCAGGGACAATAAAGAATGACCAATCACAGATCTTGATAGGCATTAAGTTCATGCATTAAATAGACCAGAAAAGATAGATGAGTGTTCCCTGAGGACGAGGAGTTCCCTAGGAAGAGTGTGTTCCCCGGGGAGGACATGGTCTATAGGCCCATGGTCCATAGACCGCTCAAGCGTAAAATCTTTCAACCAGTGGCCACAGGCCTAAAGGCAGCGGAGGTCGTCAGTCCGAAATCTGAAGATGACTGGCAAAGGGCTGGGGACTGATGCACATAAGCCCATGCCATTGCGCTGAAGACTGTGGCCATTGTGCCCAGCTGGTCTATGGACCGTGGTCCATGGACCGCTCGGGCCTAAAACCTTTCAGCCAGTGGCCACAGCGGCCTAAAGGCGACGGAGGTCATCAGTCCAATGTCTGTGGCTCTGAATGAACCAAGGACCCCTGACCACTGGGGCCTAAAGCCTGTCAACTAGCAGCTACAGTGGCCTAAAGGCAGCGGAGTCAGTGGGAAGGAAAAGTGCCTCAAAAGTAGGTTGCAACACAGAAATTGGAGTGCAACACAGAAATGGACTGCACACTCTCTGCCTCCTGCATCTGAGCCGCCAGAGACCGGGAACTGAATCCAGCACATCTGACTAGTCCTTGCTCAAAGGATGGTTGTGTAGCAGTCTTACCACTAAAACAATAGAAGATATCAAAATAGGTAAAATCTGCTGGAGAAATAGATCAACTGAGCGGCATTACTCATATGTCAGGTGGACAAGAGTGACTCTTTTGTATGGCTTGCTGCTCTGCAATGGCTCACAGTAGCTAAGAAGAGTGCTTATAATATACCTGTTCGGTCGCAGAAAGGGAAGGGCCGGAGAAGTCAAAACTTCTTGTGGCCATACGCTTATTGGGGGGTGCCTGAATCCTACCGAAGAGTCGTAAGTGTCGTAAGTTAGAGCGGATTCGCTGGATTGCGCGCTTGCTGCGGCCAGCAGCCTCGGCCATCTGGGATGTAGTTAATGGTTCATCAGTATTTATCATATCACGGATAAATTCAAGCTTTGAAAGTGCTAGATTTGGCACCATTCTGTGTAGTAAATCAGGAGGGAAGGAATTTGTGGGAAGTCTGAACTGCACACCTCAGGTCGCATGACTAAGCAAGGCCAGATTAGGGAAGATGCCTTGGCAGGTGCCGAGGCTGACCTCCAACAGAATTCAATGAAGATCGTTATTCCGACTTCCGACACATCTGGGTCTGAGTCAGATGTGGGGTAGCTCCAGTGATATCTAATTTGGGCACTTGCAGGAGAATCAGCAGCAGTTCTGAAATATGCACAATTAACCGATGCTCTTTGGTTGATTGATATTTGAACTGAATATGCAGCTGACCATTTGCAGTCCGCCACGCAACAAGGCTGGCCGCCTCCATTATTTTAGCCCTCTTTAATGATATAAACCCTTTTGCTACTCTGTTCAAGTTTCCAAATACCAGTGCACGCTCAACTCTGGATGGAGTACTTCACAATGGGACGCAAGAATAAGAAAGCAAAGCAAGCTATGCCTAGTAGCAGCGAAATACTACCCTGCATCGACACCCAAAATAACACAGCTTTTGAACTTGAAAGTGAGGAGGATACCCGGCCTGAGTTTTTGTAGGTTCTTTTATCACCTAGTCACAACACTCACAGTCTAACTGAGAAATAGACCATATACAGGACGCAGCTACTACCTTCTTGCTGGGGCTGAGGCAGCCCGGTATGCCGTGCCACATATTTATCTGGCGAAGTTCCCAGATCTGTTGTCCCAAGCTGCAAAATATCATCTGCGTGCATATCCCTACAGCCCAGACCCAGACCCAGACCCAGACCATACCATTCGACTACCTGACTTGGATAAGGACATCGCGCACACACTGGTACATTTTCTCTATACTGGTGAATACCAGACGCTGAGGCGACCGAACGTACGAAACTCTGAAAAAGCGTCCCTGGAATACAGAAGGGCTGTTCTTGTTTATCAGATGGCAGTCTCGTACGGATTACATTCCTTGGTGCTACATGCAAAAGCGAATATTACAAAATTTGGAAAATCGGTATCAGCTTTCAATGCCTTAGATATCTGGAGGGAGGTGTATGAGAAGCTGTCAAAAGATGATGCATGGCTCTACAGTCATCTCAAAGCAAAACTCGGTGAAGCATTTGATGCTGATGGAAGTGTGTTCGCACGGGAACAATTCTTGGAACACGCTCAAGGGCCGCTGGGTGGAACTCTGATGAAGATCGTGGTGGATATATATAACAACAAGCTTTCGAGCGCCCGTATGAAAGACGGTCAGGCCGGGCGATCTAGAGTAGCGGGTTGTCCAAAACCCAATGGGAATACAAAACTAGGGCCTGAAGCCCAACTAGGAAGGCACAGTAGCTGAAGACGACTGGCAAAGGGCTGGGGACTAATGCACGTAAGCCCATGCCATTGTGCTGAAGACTGTGTCCATTAAGCCCAACCGGTCTATGGACCGTGGTCCATGGACCGCTCAGGCCTAAAACCTTTCAACTGGTGGCCACAGTAGCCTAAAGGCGGCGGAGGTCATCAGCCTGATATCTGCGGCTCTGAAAGCACCAAGGACCCCTGATCAAAGACTTCGCAGGCATTGATTAGCGACAATGCTTGGTCTTTCGGCCCTTCCTAGATTCCTAAGATGTAGTCGGTGCTCAAGTTCCCAGGTGAACTTCAAGGGTGCGTTCTCTATGCTGTACACCTGATTATGGAAGGCGCTGGGTTAGCCCCCAAAGGCTTCAATCTTGCGCTGCACTGCATCCTCTGGTGCTCACTGGAAGTTGTACAATGATCTCACAAGACCAAAAATAATGCGCGTATATTGTATATCGTGTAGCTTCACTATCTAAACTCAAATTATGAACACTTCAGGGGGGAAAATCTCTACTAGACACTAAACTTAATAAAATTAACCGCGGATAGAAACAAGTTCAGAGCTCATCCTACCACCCCAATGGGTTAGCGATATTGATGGGTTCAGTTCAACAGGCAAGACTCTCAAGGGGTAGCTTTGGCGATGCGCCCTCCAGCTTCCTAGTGCTAAAGCATTCACTAAATTCCTGCAACTCGGTAGTCCGAGGAGGATGAGAAAAGAAATGCAGTTCTTGCTCTCAGGTCTGAGAGTGGTCAATCATCAGGTTTGGGTTGTTTTTGACTACGCAGAAGTCATGGCCGATTGAGAACTTTGATCCATGCAGGATTTCTTTCCACCTCTCATGACCCACTTCATATTGAACGCGATCAGGCTTAGTAAATATACCCATTGTACAATTTCTTGCTCCATAGTCTTCCCGGGCGGTGCGAGCAGCACTTGAGTTGGTGGTGTCATCAGTCATGGGCATTGCTGGGAGCATAATGCAGCATGCAACTATCAGCCTCAATGTACTGCCTGACCAATGTCCACACAAGTTTCACCAGCTAGTTTTCATCGTCGATCCGAGCAATGTTGATGACTCCAGGCAAGTCAAAAAAGGATAGATTCAGAAATCCTGTGGTTTCCTGGACCATATCCCCTGCTGATGAGGGTTTCAAACAGGACTTCTTCATACTAGTTCTGCTCCTGCCAAGGACCGAGAGGTCTGGATTTCAAGATGTTCGTCCATGAAGTTCCAGGGACCGAGGTACTTTGAACTCAGACATTCCTTCAACGAATGAGCTCTTTCCAGCAGACTGGTCTCCAATCACACATATCTTTGGTAACAGTAGTCCGTGGTCTTCAATTCCAAGATAATGGAAATCTTGTATCTAGTATTCTCGCCTTAGTAATCTCACTCTAGTATTCTCGCCTTAGTATTCTCCACCTAGTATTCTCGTCCTAGTATTCTCGCCTTAGTAATCTCACTCTAGTATTCTCGCCTTAGTATTCTCCTCCTAGTATTCTCATTCTAGTATTCTCATTCTAGTATTCTCCACCTAGTAATCTCACTCTAGTAATCTCGTCCTAGTACTCTCCCCCTAGCAATCTCGCCTTAGTATTCTCCACCTAGTATTCTCGTCCTAGTATTCTCGCCTTAGTAATCTCACTCTAGTATTCTCGCCTTAGTATTCTCCACCTAGTATTCTCGTCCTAGTATTCTCGCCTTAGTAATCTCACTCTAGTATTCTCGCCTTAGTATTCTCCTCCTAGTATTCTCATTCTAGTATTCTCATTCTAGTATTCTCCACCTAGTAATCTCACTCTAGTAATCTCGTCCTAGTACTCTCCCCCTAGCAATCTCGCCTTAGTATTCTCCACCAAGTATTCTCGTCCTAGTAATCTCGCCTTAGTATTCTCCACCAAGTATTCTCGTCCTAGTAATCTCGCCTTAGTATTCTCCACCAAGTATTCTCGTCCTAGTAATCTCACCCTAGTATTCTTGTCCTAGTATTCTCGTCCTAGAATGCTAGAGTGAGATTGCTAGAGTGAGATTACTAGGACGAGAATACTAGAGTGAGATTACTAGGGCGAGAATACTAGAACGAGCATACTAGGACGAGATTACTAGGACGAGATTACTAGAGTGAGATTACTAATGCGAGAATACTAGGACGAGAATACTAGGACGAGATTACTAGGATGAGATTACTAGGACGAGATTACTAGAGTGAGATTACTAAGGCGAGAATACTGGGACGAGAATACTAGGTGGAGAATACTAAGGCGAGATTGCTAGGGGGAGAGTACTACGAGAATATGAAAGTGGAATTATAGAGAGGAGAGCCGCTCAGAAAATCACCTTGCCGACAAACTGGACGCCATGGAACACTTCCTAGCAATCTCTCCCTAGCAATCTCTCCCTAGCAATCTCTCCCTAGCAATCTCTCTTCCTATATTCCCTCCATAGCTTAGCCTCATCCTGGGAAAGATAGAGAGCGCATCTCTCTCTGGGAGCATCTCCCCACTGGGGAGTCTTCCTGGATCCTGGAGAATACCCAGAATTAGAGACACTTCCCAGAAAAGAGATGTTGCTCCCAGGATTGCAGCAGCAAAGTTGCAAACCAGTATCGAATCATGTTCAAGAAATAAGACGTTACACCATTTTCTTGGCATACTACAGGTCCGAACCTTTGAGATTTCCATTTGAAAAATGCCAGAAAATATCAAAAACGAGATAGATCAGGTCCCGTGGTCTGTGTTGACTCAGTCGATGGTGAGGAACGAGCTGAGCGTGGCTGAACTAATGTGGATCAACCTTAATTCAACGACATGCCTGCCGATGAGTTAAAGCTACATTGGCATCAAAATAATCCCGCTGGCTGGCAAGCCTGTGTCAGCTGATGAACAGTGTACTTTGGTGTCATGGGGCGTGCTGCATGTCCAAGGTAAGGACCTATTCCTGGCTGTCTCCCAATTAAGATCAAGACCACATTGAAACCTTCACGCTGCCGAAAGCTGGAGCCTCTGACCAAGTCCCAAATCATGCTCTCTGCAGATATCAGGCCTTTCTTCAGCATGTGGAAATCGGATGTGGAATCCTTCTATACACAGCTTGAAGATAAGTTTGAAGGTTTGAACTCTAGCATGCAGGAAGAACTAGAATAGAGCTTCCTGGGTTAAACCAGGTGTATTCCTAAGCTGATTCTCAGATTGGTTTTACCAGAAGATTACACTGTAGATGAACAAAGTAAAGATAATACTGTCCCTGCCCTCCGAGTCAAACCAAGAGAGTGCTAGAGAGTGCTAGAAAGAGAATGCTTTATACAGATAAATGGGGAATAGTAATACCAGTGTGGGAATGATAGGACAAGAATGCCTCCAGGACAGAAAGTCCAGAACATGAGAGGGCCTGAAGAGCTCCCAAACAGGCCTCCCCATCAGGTTACCAGGTGGGCGATAATTGTATGCCGTCTGCGGGTAAGGGTAATCAGAGGAGTAGGTGATCAACAAAAAACCATCCCTGGAGATGTAAGCCTCCTTATATACCTATTGTCCACGTAAGCTCCTAGGCCAAAGCCTCCATTGCCCGCGAACTCCAGAACTAAGATTTTGTACGGTTTGCTTACAAACTATTCCCCTAAGGCTGCTTCCTTGGAGAAACCACCTCTTTTGGCTTCAACCCATCGGGCCTGTAAGACTCCTGTGTCTCTTGGTTCATCACATGTTGGCCCTGTTCTGTAGCTCTCGAGCGCTTTTCTGACTTTAGGTAATTTTCCGATGTTATTCGCTTTGGGGGAGGATAATGTCTGTTCTATTGTTGGTCAGCAGAGATCTTCCAAAGACAAGCACTGTAGTGGCATACAAGACTTTTTTCTGAAGGTGGGAAGCCTTCAGTCAACTGTTGGTGCACCATGAACTTGGTGGTAAAAAATTGAACCACATCATCACCCATGTGATCAGCAATGACAAGATAGACATCACTGCCACACTTAATATTATATTCTCATAGCTTTTTGACCAGGGTCTTCTTTAAGCGGCGTCGACTTTGTTGCAAGCTCAACCGATTGTTGGACTGACATGGCTTTGTAACTCTGGAAATCTTTTGTGATGGCATCTCCGGTGTAATATTCTGACGTAATGAAGATTAGTTGTTGAACTGGAACATAGGAATGTAGCGGGTGCCTGAATTTAAGCCATAGGAGAGACTACTTCTAGCACCCTCTTTTTGTAGCCCTGGGAGATGGAAGAGGCCATTTCTGGCACCCTCTTTTTGTGGCCCACTGCGATGCCAAAAATGGGTTGCACTAGCAAGGGTGACTGGCCGGGTGAATGATCTCTAATTGGGTGTGTATTGATGGCCATAATAATCTATGCAATTGGGTACTTTTGGATTTCTGGCTTTCTGGCTTTCTGGCTCTTTCTAAGACCGCCATTTTTGAATTTTCTGACTTCTAAAACCATACAGTACAGCTCTCTAAAGCAAACTGTCCAATTTTCTGGCAGCTATGGGGAGTGCTGGGGCCTACAGAGCCAAGTCCTCATTCAATGGATAATCTGGGAGTGATAGGTCTCAATGAGACCTGTTGAGATCAGTAATTTGGCAAAACCCTATCCAAGGCCCCATCCCTCAAAATCCTTCATGTTCCATTTCAACCTCCTTTTCAAATGCTACACCTGTTCTTACACCTGTGCCTTGATTCCACAACAGGACCTGCCACATCTTGGAGACTATCTGTGGCAGGCAATTGAAAAGAGGTTAATATGACATGGCCTTCAGGGCAAAGGATTCCGGGCCACATATTTCACACCAAATGCCACTACTTTGAGGACTCTCCAAGGCAAGGGCTTGGAAGCAATGTATTTCACACAAAAGCCACAATTTTCCAGGCTCCCTAGGGCAAATCACATATTCCATACCAAAAGCCATGGCTCTAGGGACTCCCCAAGGCAAACAGCAAACCTATATCAGAGCCTAGGCTCCCCAGGGCAGACCACCTATTTCTCACATATGCCATGACTTTCTGGGCTCCTCTGGGCAAAGCTTTGAAGCAACATATTTCCAAGCAAAGCCCACAATTATCAGGCTCCCCTGGGGCAACCACCTTTTCATGTCAAAAGCCACAGCTTTCCCAGCTCTCCAGGGCAAAATATTCCAGGCCATGCATTTCAAGCCAAAGGTCATGATTCCCAACTCCCCCGGGGGCAAACCACCTATTTCATACCAAAACCCCTGACTGTCACAGCTCCCCAGGGCAAAGGCTCGGAAAAACATACTCCGTTCAAAAATGTCTGATTCCGTGGGGCAGAGGATACTACTGGGGCAGACCACGTATTTCCAGCTGAAAGCCATGCGTTGCCCGATTCCGTAGGGCAGAGGATACTACTGAGGCAAGCCACTTGTTTCCAGCCAAGGCCGTTCCCCTCAGGGCAAGCATGCGCTCAAGGCATTTCAGTCCCTGGGGCATTTTTAGCCCCAGAATTCTTGAATTGACTGAGGCAGGCCACAATTTCAGCAACAAAGACAGCTCTCCTTGGGGCATTTCTACCCTGAGGCATTTTCGGCCCTAGGATTCTGAATCGACTGAGGCAGGCCACAATTTCAGCAACAATGGCGCTCTTCTTCAATAACCCCTGAGGCAACTTTTCGCCCTGGGGATAGCCACCGCGCGGCCATATATTCCGACTCTCCCCAGGGCAGGTTGTCGCCCTAGTGCAGCCACTTACCTTCTCTCTCAATTTCAACTGTCCCAAGGCAGCTTGCCGCCCCAGGACAAGCTTTTTGCCCTAAGGGTACCACATTTCCAGTGGGCCATCAATTTTCAATTGTCGCCCCTGAGGCAAATCTGCGCCCCAAGAATAGCCACCTTTCTTCACTCACAGCCATAAACTTTGATATCCCCCAGGGCAACTATCGGGCACCACATTTCTTCACTCAAAGCTGGAGTTTTATATCCTCCTTGAGGCAGCCACATTTCTTCATTTGAAGCATTACGCTCCCTGGGCAATGGCCACAATTCGACCCTGAGTATTGATCGAGACTCCAAATTGCAGTTCCTCCAAAGCAATATTGACTAGCCCATTGCTTTTTCATCCCTCAGCCCTAGCTGCATGTTCCTAATATCCATGGGCATGCTGACGCTGTCAAGGCGTGCAACACATGAATCGCCATCAACAGTGTTATTTCCCTCCAATAGGACAAATCTCCGAAACACAATAATAGTCTGAAAATCGTCCTTGCAAAATTACAATCCCAAAAATCTCAGAACTCATTATGAAGAGGCTAAGGTCTAGAACGACTGCATTAATACAGGAAAAATAGTTGATCACTAGGAGCTCATAGGCATTCACTGTTTCTCCTCCAGGCGTTCAAGATCACCCTGGAGCTCCTTCAACTCAGGCCTATATCGTTTAATGAATGCGATAGCACAGGGCAAGCTAACATATGTGCCTCGCAAAATATGCTTCTCTCCATGTCTCCGGCCACCAGGCATGACATAAAACGTCTCCTTTGTACTCTTCAAATAGGATCTCATCACATCTCTTGAGAACTGAAGAGCCCAGCATATCTTGGTAAGATTGATAGCCCTGGAAGGGTTCTTATTAGCATCATGGTTAACCCACATTTCGAGCTGAATTACTCCGAGTCCTCGGGTCCCAGCTGTGTGTATGTTACAAGTGGCAGAAGACTTCCGACGTGTTCTTCTTGTGGGCGGCCCACAGGTGGATGATGGAAGATAAGCCTCTCCTCCAGCTCCTGATATGTCTTCATTCATTGTGAACCCACTGGGGAGCTGGAATTGATTCCAAAAGCTGCTATCAAGTGAGGGCAAGGCCTCTGGGAGAAGCGGCGTAGGCGACTGAAGCAAGCACTCGTAGGGTTGGAGAAAAGTACCCCTTCGCTCAGGCTCAGGATCATTCGTGCTCTCATCCCGTTCAGTGGGAGTCTCACTCCCTTGTATGGTTGCCGGCAATGAGCTATCACGGATAAAAGCAGTCGGCTTGAAGACTGTAGTGGGCAAGTTCTGCCCCACACAGCCCTGTCGGTTGAGATCAAACTCATGGTCCTTGGGAGAAGGTTCCAGGCGGTGGTCAGATAAACAGGCTGCTGCTGAGGGCCTGGATTTGGGGTCCTTATGGAGCATCTCTTCTAACAGCTGAAGGAAAGGATCACCTGTTTCCCTATATGCTGCAGTTACTCTTCGTTGAACCTCTGCAGGCCAATTATCACCTGTGAACTCGTTTTCCGGATCCGGAAGTCTATCAGTGATGTCAAAGGCAGTGACAGCGGTTGACCAAATGTCAATACTTTTGTCGTAGTGACCAATGTAGATCTCTGGTGCTGCATATTTCTTTGTGCCACACTCAGTCGTGAGGAACCCATCCCTCGCGGTCAGACCAAAGTCAGATAGTTTAGCAATCGGAGGATCCCAGCCCTTGAGAAGGATGTTCTCTGGTTTTATGTCCCGATGGACGTGCTTAACGCCATGCAGATAAGCGACAGCTGTGAGCACCTGTCGGAGAATAGTCTTCAACTCTGTGCGCGAGAGGTTCTTACGCCGGTGTTGGTCTCTGAGATTGCCCAGTGGCATAAAGTCCATGATCAGAGCAAGGCCTGCTTGGTCCGCAATCAGATCCACAAATTCAACAATGTGAGGCTGCAAATTGGTCACAGGTGAGTTAGTGTGGGATTACAACATCAGTATCTTGGGAACACTTACATGCAAAAGGCACTGAAGGGTGGCAATTTCTGAGAGGTTTTTAGCCTCTTGTTTATCTCTGGCCCTGAAGAACTCTTTTACAGCATATATTGCTCCACTGTGGTATTGAACAGCCCTCCGAACAATTCCAAATTCCCCTCGGCCAATCCCCTCGAACATGGTGTATCCATTACGCAACCCCATGCGTTGGGATGGCGGTCTAGTGCTTGCCGCAGAGGAGAGAATGAGCTGTCCGAGTCCAGGAATGGCTGTTTTGTATTTCTCAGCAAACAATCGCCAGTTTGATTGATGCTGGAGCTTCTGTACACCACTTAAAGTGGGATGATAGAGGAGGAATTCAAGGTCGTCCACAGTCACTTCAGTCACCTTTGCAGCGTCTAGCGACCAGCGCGCGCGCCCAACTAGCTTTGTTTTGTGCCCTTCTTCACCTCTAACTTGGACGGTAGTACCATGCTGTGATTCATTCTGTAGTACAAGGATTCCCGACTCGAAATTGAAATAGATCCGGAAGTGTTTGGCACTGATCTTTTTGCCGCTGTGTCGAACGTCATCGTGAACTCCAAGTAGGACATTGCACATCTTCCGCGCGGCACTGTTGATACCGAAGGTCCAGCCTTGGGAAGGGTCTTTCATGTCGCTATCAAATCTGAGATGGAGTTCCGGCTCTGCTGAGAGCGCGGCTGGTGTACATTCTCGGCTTTCAGGATCGATGTCAACAGACTGGTCGCCAAAAGTGATGTTGACATGCAAGGGCCGGTCTCATTTGATGACCTGAGTTCCAAGTAAGCCTCTCCTAGCACAAGTCTTCATTATAGAACAAATGTCTGTACTCTGAATCCATGGTTTCCCAAAGTGAACTTCAGGGCTCTGATATCACTTCTCCAGTAGATGGCTTGGTGACTACAAAGAGGTCAGAAGTTTTTCAATACAAAAAACAAATGTCAAATGAGAGCTAATGCACTGGAACCACAATCAATGAGTCTGACAATGAGTTCATGGATATTTTCGCTAGGCTTTGAGTAATCAAATCTGCTGAGGGCGACATTCTCCATCTTCAGATCTGGAGTGAGGATGAGTACGCCAGATCCAAAACTCGTTGCAACTCGTGTGGGAAGACCCAGGTCCGAAGTGGTGTGGAGTGGCTAACTTCAAGTTACTGAAACACATCTCTTTTTACCCTAATTTCACTTTTCCTTCGGTCATATAGAGGGAAATTGGTCTATTTATAGTTAAATGAAATATAATAAGGATGGAATCAAAATCTGACTTGCAAGATCAGTTTTGGTGTGGGAAATTCAAGAGCAAGAAAACTAACACTTTTTTATCCAGGTTTCACCCCTTCAAAGTGAGCTCACAAGGTGAGAGTTCAAAGAGAAGATGTTGTGTGAACAGTACTGCTGTGATTTCTTGAGACAGGACATCATCTCCTATCTAAGAATGAAGGAAGTGGATGAGTCGACTGAGTCCGACCATTGCAAAGGGTATGCTTGGGAAGAGGTTTACTTTAAATGATATTCCAAAATTAACTTTTCCTTGAGTCATATTGAGGAAAACTGGTCAGTCTATAACTATATGCCATCTAAATATGGATAGGATTGGAATCCAGCCTGCAAGTTCGTTATCTGCTCAACCAACCCCCCTTTTTTCTCCCCCGCGGCGGAGGCGGCGGACTTTGAGTGGTTTCTATCCAAAATTGATTTTTCCTTCGGTCATATTAAAGGGAATTGGTAATTTTATAGGCAGACATCATAATAATATGCATATGAACAGAATCCAACTTGCAAGATCGATTTCTGCTCCGAGAGGCTAACTTCAAGCACATGAAAACCACCTATTTTTTATTCAAATTTTATTTTTGTTTGGGTCATATTGTGGGCAACTAGTTAATTGGTGGCCATATGACTAAGATTGCTCCAGGGCCGACTTTAAAAAAGGCTTTGGACGAAGAAATGGATCAGGCAACAATGTCTTGACAAGTTAGAATGGACCAGCTCTCAATCAATACTTATTCGACAAAAGTGTGTTCTACATCCACAATACAGCGCCCTCTCCGCAGCTGGATAGTTTCCACGGCCACAAACTACTTCACAATGAGCTCCACCTGTCCTTGTCCGCCTCACAGAATCCTCGGAGGGCCTCTTAGCCGTGTATTTCCAATGGTTTATCCCGGTGCAACATCACGTGTATTATTGACTGGGCTTTCTGGCTTTCTTATTGTCCGTGCCGATGCCCGTGCTTCTTGCGAGAACCGGATTGCCTCATCCTCTGAAAAGCCTGAGAAAAGTCAATAGCTGTCATGTAATTGGGTTATGACCTTGGAACATACCTTGACATTCTCAAAGAACTTCCTAACCATTTCTTTGTCCAAATCACCAATGCTCCTGTCCCGGTCATGGATAAGATCTGCAACCGCCTTGACATACTTCCCAGCAGTAAAGTCCATGTCCTCATTGGTGGTATCTGGATTCTTCGTTTGAGCAATCATGGTTTCCATCCATCGACCAATATCCGACCACTGAAGGATATGCCCACCAACCATCAATGTCTGGCCCTTCGAGATACGGAAGACATAATGGATCGTCGCAGAAGTGAAAAAGATAGTTTGTCCAGGTTGCAGAACAACATATCTCCATTGCCCGCCCAAATAACCTTGGGGATCCCCTATCCAAGCATCTAGTTCATCCTTTGTTGGGCGCGACATCCAGCCAAAACCAACCTGTCCCTCTTGGACTGTTAACCACGTAGAAAATCCATGGCTGTCCATATGAGGTGCTGTGTTGTGGCCTCCTTCACAGAGAAGGGCCCATTCAAGAACATTTTTCCACTCATTCCAGGTGTCAATGGCTGCCACAGGCCTCTCAGCACTATTTCCCATCAAAACTACATCACGCACTCGTGACAAAAGTTGGCAATTTTCCCCCATTAGGAAGGTTGGGAGGGTTGATGGGATCGGATTGTGTAGATCGAGGACATTCCAGGGATCTTCAGCTACTTCATTTTTGAGAAATCGTTCGCGGACTTCATGAAGAGTGCGACTTTCAAAGGACTCGAGTTCACCATCACGGGATGGGATCTGCACCGACACTTCACGATGAAAGCCTCCCATGCGCTGGAAAAGCTGCAATATGGGGCGATCTGAGCCACTCCACTGAAAAGGCTGCTGAGATTCCACAATGATTGGAATATTGACATTCCCAGACTCGACTTCCGCCGCTGCACGTTTTCCAGACCAAAAATGTGCATCAATACCATCATCAGCAGTCTTGCTCCGGGTCAAGAGTCTATGAATCAACCTATTCGTAATTCCCCCATGCGAGTCTTCAGCCTCCTGTGGAAGCCTCCCCACAATTTCTTCAAGGACTTGTTTCATAAATCTCTCATCGCGAACTGGGTCATGTGGTCGCTCATACCCACGATTCATAGTACGGACGGGGGAATTCTGGTCATCGAAACGCATTCTCTTGGCTGCCCTGTAATGTAGGTCTGGTGCAGACAGCCGTCGGGTCAAAGTTGGTCTTTGTGAGGAAGGAACGACTTCACTTGTATCTTCTCTCCAAGTATCGCTTCTTTCATCGTCTAGGGCAATCCTTGTGGTAATACTAGTGAACTTCCTAAGGTGCTGATAACACAAAGAGTTCCTGTAAGGCATTAACTGTCTAAGGAAGCCCTTGCCGTCCGTATGCATCTTAGGTAGATCATCCAGCATAGACCGAATGTGAGATGGTAGAGTTGAACAGCAACGACGCCTTCCCTGGCGCCGCATGCGCTTTGGTGTCTCTTTGTAAACCTTTGGAAGCCGGTGACGGAGTCTTGTTTCACTCTTTTGGTTGGATTCCCGGTCATTGATTTCGGTATTGTGGCTGTCTTCATTTCCGGAGACACTCTCTCGGTCGGATTCACTCTCCAGATTATCACCTTCATTCCCAGACTCACTCTCTTGGTCGGATTCATGTCGTGGAGAAGCCTGATTCACAGAATGAGGATTTTCATTCTTCGACTCATCAGATTCATTCGCGGGATTGGGGGTTTCGTTCTCGGGATTGTTCGTTTGGTCTGTTTCGCGCGGTTGGGAAGATCCGTTCACAGAATGGGCGGGGTTATTTTCTGATCCAACCTCTCTTGATTCACTCTCGGGGCTCTGTTCATCAGAGTTCGGAGCTGCAGCAAAGTCCCCCAGAACAAATAAACCAAACTTGTCCAGACCATAGCCATCAGGTAACTCGTCAATACCTAGCTGTTGAAATGGAAGTGGTTCTCTCTCCGGGTCGTTGTCTTTGATATATGGGTTCCTATGCGTCCACTTCTTCAGATTCTCCAAATCAATCTGAGAGATAGGATTTTTCGCCTTTCTAATTGGGCGCCTTCCAGGAATTCGAGTTCTCCTGAGCATCAGCCTATTAAGCTTAATGCATGCTTCCTCCCATGAAGCAATTTGATTTGCAGCAGTTGCTAGGAGTTTGCAAAACCTCACACCAAGTGAGGGCCACCCATAATACTGAAGTACATCTTGACCCCAGCATCTGCTGACTTGTTTGAGCGCGTTAAGTTGAGTCCTTTTTATTTTCAAACCGTCCCTCGCAACACCAATGAACCGGTCCCATTGCTCAATTTCCTCATCCGTAGTCGTACTGCTTCTAGCCTCCTGCTGGCGCGATTCTCTCTGCTGTTTATAGAGCTTGCACCCAGAAGACATCACCTTATCATAATCCGCAATCAGGACTTCGATCCCATCATGTCTTGCCAAGAGTTCGTCCCGCTTCGCGACACATTGCTGAAATCTTATGGTATCATCGGGCTGAGCAAGAAGACTCGCCTGGAATTCCCTGAGCTCGCTAGGAATAGTCGGGTCATCCGTATCCTCATTGCTGCTGTCATCGACTCGGAATGGGGAGGGAGCGTGGATGGAGGGAGCGTGGATGGACGCAGGCATGGCCATGAAGAAGTGTCGCGTGGCTAACTGAAGAAGTATAATATTGCAAGAGATAGAAGCTGAGGGGTAAAGAAGTTGTTCTCTGTCTCTTGTCTCGCAAAAACTCCTTGCCCGAGGCTAGACTTATTGTGGAGCGTTGCAGGTGCCGGTAGAGAAAACGATTTTAAATGAGGCTGGGACTGATGTATAAACAAATTTAATTCATCCACTGAACTAGGTCGCGAGAAAACTAGCTTCAGAGTGCAAAGGCAGAATGGTTGCGCACCATGGAGATGGTCAACCTGGAGCTCGAACCATGTAATGACTAATCACAAAAGGTGTGGCGGTGACAACAGGTTCCATTGGCACGTGCGGGGGCAGCAGGTTCCATTGGCACCTGTCGCGAGACCTGCCAACCACCAGCGGCTTTACTATCTCGATGGTGTGGATTTCATGAAGGCACTCAGCAATTTGGGTTTGCACCGATGAGAACGACGCCGGTGCACTATTGACTATTCAAAGGGCAGCTTCCATGATGATTTCGAGCGACATCCACACCCCAGGCAATGGTTCCGAGTTCGGGAAAAGACACAAACCAAAGAGACTGTATGCAGGGAATTGCTATCCGGATCTGTGTTTGAGTGTCAACACCTCAAGGCTTAGAGGCTGCCACGTTTGCTGAAGTGTTGCTGTTGTTGATGCCACTTTTGGACTGTTACACTTCCGCTGCTGCCCAGCACCTCATCTTCTTCCTCGATCTTTGCTTTGTGTAACTAGTAAGTTTCTTTCCCTCTGCTAGCCTATACGTGAGTACGCTGCTTAGTGCTAACCAGACTTGCAATTCCTCTCAGTTTTTTACTCCCTATGCCATTCAGCTGCACTGTATCTGCCCCAGAATACGCAACAGGTAAACAAGAAGCCATCCAGAGTTATATGGCCTACAGCTAACCTGAGTGATTATTCTAAGCTATGGAGTCAACGGATTGTTCAATTTGCTTGCGACCCTTCTACCTTCCTTTTCGCTGGGGTGATGCATGCAACCATACCTTCTGCCTTGAGTGTCTGTGGGGCCATCTCATCAGTGTGGACTATAATTCCAATGAGACTCCGATTACTGCATGCCCCTACTGCCGAGAACGGGAATACAACTTCACTTATGACGAAGTGATGGAAACATACATGAAGAACCATGGGATTCTCCATGACCGGAGCTTGATGGAGCGCCAGACTCTGCATCTCAAGTTCATCAACTTCTGCTTGGCGGCAGTAAACGACGCGATGGTGGCCTACGAACTAGATGATGAAAGTAACAACGTCATTACAAGTGAAGGCGATGGCTCAAATGCTACAACCAGTGGAGATTTTTTGGTGATCCCTGCCGACGTCCTCGCCGAACTGGATGAACTTGCAAACACCCCTCAGGTCCGCTACGACCCCGCTAGTGACGAAGAGGATCAGAAAATCAATGCCCTGCTGGCCCTACGTGACCATCTCCCGATTCGAAAACTACGATTGTATGGCCAACTCCATGGGGTGCACTTCCAGAATGAGATGATGCATGCAACCTTAGAAGCTTCATTCCCATTATACGAGCAATGGTAGTAATGGGTGAGGCAGGTGGTATTCAAGTTTGTTATCTACGTGTTCTCAAACCAGCACATACATAGATATCACCAATAGCCAAACATGAGAGCATAATTTTTTTTTCTGGTCTACACTTTACTGACTGGAGGGGAAGCTTTGGAAGCGATGATGCTGATGCACGCGGTGGATGCAGTGGATGCGGAGGATGTAATGACTAAGCATAGAACACGTGCGGCGGTGACAACAGGTTCGGTTCCATTGGCACCTGTCATGAGACCTGCCAACCACTGACCGGCCCGGGATCTACCATCTCGAGGGCATTTGATGAGCTGGAGACGACCACCGGTCCTGTCCAGGAGAAGAAATTGTAACTACTTGATACCCAATTAAGCCCGTGCGTATTGTGCAGTCTAGTATTATGATTGCTGTTTCCATGATGGATTGAAACGAATTGGACAAAAGTGAGAATGATAGACATTCGCATTCAAAAGCTAACCAAGTGATAGTGCTGAACATGGGAGTTAAATCGAGTTTCAGTCAAGCCTAGGATACCCTACTGAGATGCACATGCTCCCTATATAATGTGGAGATTATAAACAAGCCTGATAATGAAACTAGGGAGATGGAAAGAAGCACTTGAAACCAGCAAACCACATCAATACAATGCAAGCACACAAAGGCCTAGACTCGTGAAGGAAGGAAAAGTAAACAACTAACAGCAGGTCATATTGAATGCATAGTTGGCTGGATAAGGATCCCCATTTAACCAATGTGTGCTGGTCCGCAGTTTATTTCTTCGGCTCTTCTGCATTGGATGCCTCCGCGTCCGATGACTTCTGCAAGCTTGCCGAGATTGCGGCTTCCGTTTTTCCATGTCGGGAGAAGAACTCTTTCCAGGTTCTGTCGTTATGGGCATGAATCGAGAGGAGCCTTGTGCCAGAACTGGTGTGGTATCCGACAGTGACGACTTTCTGTTTATCAGACTTGTCTCTGCTCGATGTATGCGGCGTTGTGCCCCTTTGGATACTTGTATTAGGACGTATTAGATATGGGGTGACAAGTGTTTCTTACTGGATCTGCGCATAAGCAACTCGAGGATACTGCGAAGCCTCGTCAGCATCATCATCATTATGGGATTACCTCGTGAGCCCTACCTTCTTTTCAATGCTCCCACTCGCAATGTTGACCGTCTTCATGAACTCGGGTCCTGCCTCTAAGCCGAGTGTCTCGAGGGAGATCCCTTTGTACACCATTTGCAAGGCCTTGGTAGGGGTAAACATCGTTTTGAAGGCGTGTTAGGTTTGGTTGGGGGAAGAGGAGCAGAAACGTTATGTTACTTCAAAAGATTGTTGATGGAACAAACAGATTGTTGGTCATGATGTTGGGGAAAGAAAAAAGGATTGTAGAGAAAAGTTGGTGCTTTTTATCCCCCATTTGACAGCAGACGGCACCAGGGGGCGGCTATTCTTGTCCACTGAATGGCCCTTCAGTTGTTTCAGCATGTGCATCACACAGGATCTGAACAACCTTTCATTGGAGAAGAGAAACTGGATATATTTGGGGTATCATGCTGTTGCCACTCAGTGCTTCCATTTCTGGAGCTTTGCATTTAGGCAGACATTCAAACACTTTCCATTGGCACCAAGAAGCTGGAGAGCGCCTAAATTTGGATATGCTGTTGGAGGCCGGCGCGTAGATTGCGGGGGATACTAGGAGTATGCAGCTTGTGTTTCAAGAACCTCAAGTTTCTGTTGGTGAGAAGTTCATGCAGAGCCAACGCTGCGAGGCAGAGGGCTTGATTCGAAAAGCTTTTCATTGGTCGCGAGGAAAGAAGCAACAAGGGGTTTTGGTTGAGAGGTCAAGGGGTGGAAAGAGGTGTGGGAAGTCTGGGGATTGATCGTGCTAGGCCGGATTAGGGAGGGGACTTGGCACATGCCAAGGCTGACCTCCAACGCTCAGTGGAAAGTTTTACCATTGGCTGACAACTAGCCTCTTGCCAAGTACCTAGCCTACGCTCCCCCAACCCGACCTCCTCCAAACCACACCTACACGTTCTTTGTAGCCGCCCATCACCTTACGGCGTACTTTGGCCCAACCCTTATTTGGCTACAATTATGTGTGGAGGCTCTTTTCGTCTACCTGCTAGTATTATTACTTCCCGGCTCCTCGCATTCCCAAACACCTGTCGTGTCTCGCTGCCCATTTCCCTGCTCCACTTTTGGCCAGCGGCAGTCAGGACCATGGCTTCGACCTCTCACTCACCTCCACGCAGATTCCCTTCGTCGGGGTTTGTGGCTCTCGACCCAAAGCTGAAGGTAGAAGAGGAGGAACTACCCTCCTATGTGCCAGGAGATTTTTACCCAGTTATGATTGGTGAGGTCTTCGTGGAGAGATACCAAGTAGTAGCTAAACTTGGCTTTGGTATGTCATCCACAGTTTGGCTTTGTCGGGACCTTGTGTTAGTATTTCCCAAAATATGCGCGCGTACTGCGACTTCAAGATGACTGACTTTCCTGTCAGGGATCATCGATATCTATCTCTCAAAGTATGCACCTCACACAACCGGCAAAATAATGAGATTGCCATTTGCAACCATCTCAAGGCAAGCAACATTGAGCATCCCGGAACACCATTTGTTCGCATGATACTTGATTCTTTCAACATCATGGGCCCAACTGGGAATCAACACCAGTGCTTGCTTTACCAACCTCTTGGGATGAGCTACACAGAATTTCTTGACTTGTTTCCCGACAAGCAGATGCCTGAGGCCCTGATTCAGAGGAGCATGCAGTTGATACTCTTGGGGCTAGACTACTTACATAAAGCCAAGGTTGTCCACACGGGTATGTTTTCCTTATCTGGTACATACAATGCAAGCTTGGGACCCAATTACTGAGGTTTCTAGATATATCTGCAAATAACATTCTCCAAGGGATCACCGACCTTACAGCCCTTTCTGAAATTGAAGATGGTGAGGCCAACCAGCCAACTGCTAGAAAGGTTCTTGATGACCGCACGATCTATGTCTCGCGACCCATGCTGATAAACACGGGATTACCTGTTCTCTGCGACTTCGGTGAAGCACGCATCGGTGACAAGCACAAGGGTGATGTCATGCCAGGGATTTACAGGGCTCCGGAGGTTATCCTGGATATGGAGTGGGATTCTAAAGTGGATATTTGGGCAGTCGGCCTCACAGTAAGGGGATTATCTCTACCAAATATTTGTGAAGTGCGACTAATTTTGTTGTTCAAGACCTGGGATCTTCTTGAAACAGGAAACCTTTTTTTCGCAAGAAAAGATGGCCTGCTGAATGATGAACAGCACCTAGCTGAAATGGTGTCACTTCTTGGGCCCCCGCCTCTCGAGTTCATAAGACGAAGCGACAAGTGTCTTCAGTACTGGGATGAAAATGGTATGATTATAACCCAGCAATTGCAAACTACCTTGCAAGCTAACAAGTGTTGTCCGTAGCAAACTGGAAAGGATCTATTCCTATCCCAGAGCAATCTTTAGAGATACGCGAGCGGAGCCTGGAAGGGGATGTCCGTACTATGTTCTTGCATTTCCTGCGATCGGCGCTCGCATGGTTACCTGAAGAGAGGCTTCTAGCTGAAGATCTAGCACGGCACGCATTTCTTATGCAGCCCCTACTGGCTGCAGGTGGTCCGAAACAGCACTCTTAATGATCTGCTTCGATAATTAGGTTGTTAGGTGTGTGGTTCATACACACTCCTTGTCATCCGTACAGCATTTTCTCGAGAACCAATGGCAAGCAGCAGCAGGACGGAAACAGACATTTTGCCGCCGGTTGGCCATCGAAGAACGCCTTCACGACTTAGACTCGCCCTTGAGAAGAATCTACCAGGGAGGTCTAAGCTGCCTGGTTGTTTGGACATTGCTGCTACTCCACTCTATCAGATTCCCCGCTCCTATCTGCAGACTAAGTACGTGAGATTTCAGTGTAGATCCCGAAAGAAATAAAGTAGTGACAGTGGCATTTTGAGCAAAATGTAAACTTTCAGTGATGTGAAACGTCATTGCCTCCTCTGAGACCTACGTTGCACAGGCATGTGTGACCTGCTTGGGTAGACTCCCTTGTACAAAACCAGTATCGTCCTGCCAGTCTTCACCATTCCGGCAGCTCGTGCGGCTGATGCCCCCAGGGTCAAGATCCATGCAAATCTTTGGGTTGTCTTTGAGACAGCCTGTTCCCGGTTCACATTGAGATTTGGAGCTGATCTACTTGATCAAATGCCTGTTTCTATTCTATTTCTGAACCTGTTGTTGTGAGCTTCCTTCAAATTGGAGTCGGAAACCAAAAGCCCGAGTAATAAACTTTGCTTTTGAATTTGCATCTGCTCCAGTTTACACCGGACCGGCCCGCGAACGGACCCATAAACTCAAGAGCCCCAGGATGTCCCATACCTCCGATTGTGAGAGGAATATTCAAGTCTATGGCTGGAATGTATGAAGTAATGTTACTAGGTAAGACTAAAAATGCAGACTTTCTGGAGCCTTGCCTAAATCTGATAGGGATTGGTTGCGACGACTACGCTGAATTAATCTGACCAATAATAGTCCACAATGTCGCGAGCAAACCGGAGAACCGCATCCACTCATCCCTGTCAGCGTCCTCAAGTCCCCAAATGTAACCACGTTCTTAACCGCTGTCTTGGCTCTCTGCCTCGCACGCCCTCCTTGCTTGCATTCTCTGAGTATGGGTACGCAATATCATCACCTGTTAATCAAGGGAGACTGGTCGGTTGATGGGTTGGGTATAGAAAAAGGTGTTACTCCTTCGTGGACTTCCACATCTTGTAGTAGCAACCTTTTTGCTCCATGAGCATTGCATGCGTCCCTTGCTCGACAGCTTCGCCGTTCTGCATAACAATGATACAGTGTGCATCTTTTGCCAAGTGAAGCTGGTGCGTAACCATGACCACTGTTTTCCTGTTGAAGTGTGCCTTAAGGTTCCCCCAAATTTTGGCTGCTGTGTTGCCATCAAGATGACTGGTAGGCTCATCCAAACACAAAATTTGTGCATCTCGGACCACTCCACGAGCGATCGCAATGCGTTGCCGCTGCCCTCCTGACATTTCCTGGATGTTTGTGTCAAAACGCCCTTTGCGCCGTATTAAATAATCATAGATTTCTGCTGCTTTGCAGGCAGCCTCTATCTCATGATCATCCACGTCATCCTTGATAAATGCGATGTTCTGCCGAACACTGCCAGTGAAAAATTTCGGATCCTGATGGACAACGGCGACACTATCCCGAAAGCTTCCCAGACAAATCTCTGAAATGTTGTGGCCTTGGACAGAGATAGAGCCTGACTGTGGGTCGAAGAGACGTAGAAGAAGGTTCAAGATGGTTGACTTTCCACTTCCAGATGGCCCAACAATTGCAGTGGTTTGACCACCATGGAGATGGAATGAGACACTGTTAAGAACCGGCTGTCCTCCATAGGAGAAAGTGACATTTTTAAATTCGATGTCTCCACTGACGTCGGTTAAAATGGGAGCGTCTTTTCGAGTAAATACTGCCGGTTTCCGCTTTAGAACCTCAATAACTGGCTCTAACTGCACGCCAATCCGCTTTAGTCCATCAGCCCCATCCGTTAGACACCCGAGGACGTTTGATAAGTTAGTCCACAAGGTCCATATTATGACAAGATCCTTAGCCTGTCTGTCTTGCTGGCTAGCTGCTGCCATAGCCACTGCAATGAGGATAATGGCGTCCTTTATAATACGTGCACGGAAAGAAAGAAGCTTTTGTCGTAAGCTGGATTCCAGACTGGCGTCAACTGCCTTGGAGACCTGGCCCTGCTTACGCAAGAACCTGTTGTGAGAGGCCACCATCAGCCAATTTGCGATGGATTCCCGTGTAATAAGGCTTTCCTGCTGTTTGTTTTCCAGTGTGTGTTTTTGCATTTCCCGCGGAGAGAGGAGCCATTGGGAATACCATAAGTAGGTGGCAGCGGTTATCGAGTAGTATACTGCCAACCTGATACCAAAGTGAAGATACAGCGCATGTACAGATAGTATCAGATCCAGAAATGCTGTCATCGGGAACGCAATGCTGGACACCAGACTCTCAAGTCCACCAAGTCGTGACATTAGGTCCAATGGATCACTCGATTCGCTCAGGTGGAAATCGCCCGAAAGGCCCATGACTTTGTTGTACGTCATAACTTTTATTTTTCGGGACCAGTTTTTCTCCAAAGTCCACCAACAGTATCGCTGGATTCTCAGGGTCACAGTCAAATGTTCAAGTAGGTAGGGGATGGCCACAGTCAGGATCTCCCCTACTGACAGTCCTGGGCGGCCTCAGTTAGTAATCTAGAAAATTTACAATATTAGCAATGTAAAAGTACATACTATCAGATCGGCTAATCATATCCTGGATAGCCTGGCCAGTCTGGAATGGCGTCATGACATTCAGGGCACGATCCACCAGGATGCATACCCCAATGCTGAGGGGGTGAAGCCATTGAGAGATGCCTTCGGGCCAAAAAACAGGTGCGAGGAGCTACAGGTTGGAGAGAAATATGGTTAGTGATTCCATCATGAAAATAGCTAGCGGCGACCTACCTGAAAAGTGGTGATGTAGTGCCTCCATACTGCCTGGCCTTGCTGGGACTGAGATATTGTTGTGTGACCTCCTTTGATTGTGGGGCCTAAGACTCCTTGGCTCGGGTCATCTTTTCTCCGCCGAGCATCAACGTCGACCTCTCGGCCTCCCCAGGTAGTCTAAGTTTGTATCAGCAAAGACGCAGCATAGAAGAATCTTCCAAGTCATACCACGTGAAGTGTCAAAAAGGCGTATATTTTGATGATCCCATGCACATAGCCAAAGAGGATAGAAACCGGTAAGAGAACAATGTCAGAAGGGTGTTGTCGATAGTAATCCACGAACTTGATAAACTTGCTGACGAACATCCAACCAAGCAGCAACGCCAGCGACCGAAAATGCAGCACTTGATCGTACCCAGTCACTCTATGGCATAGCCAGATGAGCAAGGCATCCATCAGCGCTGCAGGCGGAAGCAAGGGAGTTGTCAGAAAAACAGCATAGATGCTGTAAGGATGCCTTCTACTGTATGGTCAGCTTTTCCATCAGACCTGAATACTTTGGGTCAGTGAAATCTGACCTCCATGTTCTCAATGTTACGAGGCTTTTCAAGTTGCTCCTCCAGTTGCTTCGGGACCAGCGCAGGCATTGAAGCAAATACTTTGTGTTGTCCTCCAGTGTCGTCTGAACCATAGCGTCAGGATGGTTTTGAAAGAAGATATCCCATCCCTTCTCAATCATCCAGCGGGTCAAGAAATTGTCATCATCAGGGCCGAGCTTCTTTCCCCAACAAGTCTCATCACAGAAAGCTTTTAGGAATCCTTCGTCTTTCACAATGCTAGTGCGGTAGGCGGCAGTTCGTCCAGAGATGCAGGGAATACCCCCATCCATATAGTTTGTCGCGGCACAGTCGAAGTTCCTTCGCTCAAGATATAGAGCTCCAAGGAAAAGCCAGATGCGGTGAATCAAATTCCGTGGGTTGCGACGCTGAAGACGCTGGCAGGTGACAACAGCCCCAATCTTTTCCTTTGCTTCAAAGGGGGCAATTATCCATTGAAGCAGGTTAGGAGGCCATTCCACATCATCATCAGCAAACACTGTGATCTCGGTGTTGACATGCCTTATCCCAGCAGCCATCTGATCTCGTTTGTTCGGGTCCTGGACAACCTTAACTTGGAGTTCGGTTTTCCCGGACCGACGTCCGAGCTTGTTGACCATTTCTTCCAACGGCCGGCAGTTCCTCTTGGTAGTCACCAGTATAATATTTCGTGGAGCACTTGCCAGGATCGAAATAACAGTAGTTTCCAACTCCTGATTGGCTTCCAGACAGGGTATGACCACCGTCACATCTTCTCGGCTCATTTTCGGGCCCTGTCGGGGGTGGATGGGCTCGAGCATCCAACACGCCCATTGATTAACAACAAGCCGGGCATATCGATAGACGCTTCGGGTTGGATTTCAGTGAGAGCAAATTGCAACAGTCAGGAGGTCAACTTACAAGACAAAGAGGAAAATAAACCCATAAGGAGTCTCCATTGCGAAGATTGTCCGTGAGCGATGGCTTGACAGTAAAACAACAATATGAAGCTTGTGCCTTTGGCTAATATTTTAGGATTCCCTGGACTCGACTCTTCTACTTATACCCGCACCATACTATCCTCATTCTTCTGCAGCCTAGGAGTCCGACCGCACCTTTGCATTAGCCGGCTAGAAAGCATTGATGCCAGTTTTAGTTGCAGGTCTGGATGAACTTTTAACCAAGCCATGGGCCCGCCAACCATCCCGACTGCATGATCAAATCCCTTTTTGGCTCCAAGATTCCATACCGAAATACATGAAAAGCTATTTGAGGTAGGGGTCCATTTGCAGGTCAATTCCCACTGCTTTCAGGTCTAGAAACTCTCGGTGTTGAAAGGGCAAAGCATAACAGTGCCGTCTTTCTCCCTTGGTATCCAGACGAACAATGCCATACCCTTCATCAAGCCACCTGCAGTTTTTAAGAATTGCGGGTGTGGGATGACCACCTTCTTGAACATAACTACCTACACAAGCATAAACTAGAAAAAGCGCTACCCCTGACAAAGCCGTATTTTCCCAAACCAAACAAAGCTCACAGCGTTCCTTCAGCTCACCAGCGTCGACGAAGTAGTGGCCCGTCCAGTATGGCATCCCCTCTCATGTCGTTTCATGTTGCTTCGCACGCTGAACGCCTTGCCGCATCCGACATGGGGGCATCGGAACGGCTTTTCGCCCGTGTGGCTGTGGGAATGGATTCGTAGGGTTGAAGGGCGTAAGAAGGCCTTGTTGCATGTTTGACAGATATGTCTGCCCTGGTTCAGAGCGTACGCGGATGCGTTTGACAGCGGGAAGTAGTGGTGGTGCTGCCAGGCCGTGGGGCTCATGGCGGCGCTGCCCATTTGCTGCTGGTGCACAGAAAGCGGAGTGTAGCTGGCGTTCGCGGGTGGTTCGATGGGGGATGTGAACGGGGGAACGTGGCTTTGGCTGACTGTGGTAGAATAGGGCCCTTCTTGGGACAAGGACAAGCGGCTGGAGTGATGGGATTGCGAAGGAGCTGAGAAATGGTGTCGTTTGGGATCCCCAGTTGATGGTGCTGTCAAGTTGGCCACGGATATGGAGCGTGAAGACACAGATGAAGCAGCTGGGGAGTGCCGGGCGTCTTGAAAACCTGATCCGGGCCTGAGCAGCGGAGTGCGTGGCAGAATGGTCCTGTACCGTGCTGCTTGGGTTGAGGCGTGACTTGGGGGCCTTCGATTCCACTCTCTATCTCCAGACAGGTTGTGTTTATGTCGCTCTGTGAAGCAGAAAAAGGTCAGCAAACTCACTTGGGGGTTCGGGATCCGACTTCTTGACCTACTGAATTCAGAGTCTGGCAAAATGCTGTCTACCCCTTTCAGCAGAGTTGAGATAGGTGGAAGAGAGCACCTGATTGGTTCTTCCTCTGGAGGAGAGAGGGGGGCCTGATCAGTGCGGAGATGGGCATAGCTGGGCGGGTTGCTGTGCTGATAGATATTCTTTGGGATCGAAATCGAGGGTATCACTCCACAGGGCATCACTCTGGGTTGCATTTGGTCCTCTCTGGAGGTGAGAGCCATGCTATGAGTGACGGACTCTCCCCGGTTGTCGCTGGTTACAAGTTGCGCAAGATTCATGGTGCTTCGAATATCAGGGAGAGTTCAGAGCTTGTGGGAGCTGCAACTGAGTCTGTGGCATACTGATAAAGAAGAACAACCAAAAAATCAAAGCTTGGGGGTTGATATTATATAGAATTTGGAGCGCACCACTGGCAGGGGAAAGAGCAAAGCAAGGGAAGGAAATTTCCACCCGCTCCTTTCCTGACTTCCCCTGCTCCCGTTTGCACTTCCACCCCTCAAGTGAGCCAATTCCCTCCTGTTCCTCAGGGCTCATCCCCAGGGGGTGCTTTTCAGGGGGGTTCACCCTCTTCGCATCTCCGTAAAGCGCTTTTGAGGTTGGTCGCTTCTTGGGTTGTGGCGGCTCCGAGTGCTGGTTCGTCATTTTTCATAGTATCAGGAATTAGCCAGAGAGCCAAGAAGCAATGAACTACCCTTACTTTCATCCATCGCAATGCGAGGCACTCAAGACCAAAATGACTCCATTTGGTTGCTGACGAACCAAAATCAGCTAGAAATCTGGGAATAATGTACATAGAGACATGAAGAAGCGATTCAACCTAATGCTGATTCTACTTTGTTGATGGATAATAGTTACAGCTAGAGATCAGAGGACCGCCACCCTTCTCCAAAATCCGGAAAGTCCACCTAGGATAAATCATGGCCAGTCTCTCAAGGCCTGGCTGAATGTTTTCAAGCGGTGACCCCTCTATTTTCAGGGAGCACTTCGCGTATATTGCGGGTGAATCAGGTTTGTCTGCCGCAAAGTCCCAACCCAGGTTGTCTGAAAGATCCTGAAGACTGTGCAGGATGGGCCTGGATGGTGCATCTCGTAACACTCTCTCGAGCACCTGCAAATGTCTTAGCACCTGCATGGTTCAAAATGATGGCAACCATACCTCTGTTGGGCCCCGAGGTATCCCAAGCAGTTGACGTATGAAATCCTGCAGGCTTCTTGCCTCAGGGAGGAGACCTTCCTGCTCCAACAATGGCTTCAATCTTGCACAGTAGGTCGTCGGTGCCTTGTCAGTCAGGTCCAGGAGGATGGCTTTAATGGCCATGAGAACAGCTGTTTGAAGATCTCGAGGTGGTTCCGGCTTGATCTCAACACATGTGTCATCCTCGGTCCTGCCATCCAGAAGTTTCTCCAATATCGGCATCAAGATGTCATGGAATCGGCTTATTTCTCGAGCGTTTGCTATGTGAAGGACCACATAGGTCTTCTCTTCGATGGTCGTCGAATCCCGCACCAGCAATCTAGAGGCAACGGACACCATATCTGTTGTTGAAAGTTGGTCTAAAAAACAATCAGCATGATTCTGAACAGGATAAATCGTGCACATACCCAACATATTAACCTCCATCGTAAGTTATATTTGCTCGATCGTGGCCTCCGATAGGAGATAGAATGCAAACTGCAAGACCCCTCCAGCCTCTGCCCAACCTCTGGTGGATGAGCTCTGTATATATAACGAGGGCGAGAGGGTCAGAATTTTAAGGAGAGCCTTCGACATTGGACTCATTTTACGAGGAATCCAACCGTGAATATTAGTGCTATTCGGATGCGGTGTCTAAGATGGTAAGGATCTGGAATCTGGTGATGGGGCCGTAGAAACTCAAAGATCTTCAGGTGGGCCAAACTCAAAAGTGTTATTTTAACAGCAAGATCAGGTATAGCGCTCTTTTGAGTTTGCGTGCCACCCTCTTCCACTTATGGGTCTGGATCAGTCTGTGAATTGACTGAGATCTCCACTTTTCACTATGCAACCCTGCAGGGTCTTTGTAAGCAACCCATCATTCCAAGTCCGCTTCGCAAATATCCCGTAGGTAGCGGAGGAAGCGTATATCCATCATAGTATGCCTGATGCTGTTTGAACTTGCGTTGACTTAGAGTAGTATTGGATAGCAGGCTTTGCATAGGAAGCCTCAGGGACAATTAGCCGAAGCAAACCCTTGATTGATGTGGACAACATTTCCAGAAATACATGCACTGAGTCTGAGCTTCAAGCCAAAGCCATAGATTTGCTATTTTCCCGTGAAAGAACAAACTGCTGAAAACTGACTACCTAAGCAGACTACTAACAGAAGACCCAATTCATCACTCATCCCCTTCAAGGTCCACGAGGTCAATTCCCACTGCTTCCAGGTCTAGAAGCTGTCGATTTCGAAAAGGCACGCTATGGCAGCGTCGCATTTCTCCCTCGATTTCCAGATAAACAACGCCGTTGTCTTCATCATACCGCGGGAAGGATTTGAAAATGGCGGGTGTGGGACGACCACCATTTTGGGCATAATGACCTCCATCACCAATCGGCATGGTTCCACGCATGTTCAGCTTTGGGCACAGCGCGCAGCAGACGTACTCCCATAATTCGTTGTCTTTTAGTGGCGTCTCACGATCTTTCAGGGCCCACCGTCCCAAATCGGCTTCGCAGAGAGTCCGTAAGTAGCGCAAGAACTGGTCCGTAATCAAGGCATATGCCTCGGAGCGAGGGTCGTACTAGCTGGTATGCATAGGTGGAAAGTGAGGTTGTGCTTCCATTTTCGGGATTCACAAAAACGGAGGACGCGATCAGTATCAAGGAGGATCAATAGTTGAGCGGCACATTTCACCCTGCATGGACTAATATTTGACCGAGCTGCAACGGGATACAGTTTTATGGTACTTCTAATAAAACATCAACGTATTTTCTGTATGTACAACGTATGTAGTCCACCACCAATCCTTGGAGCGTCACCCAGAACGAAAAGCCCAGTCCTCGCCATATTTCTTCTTCAGCCAGTCCCAATCTTCACCAACCTCCCGAACTGCTTCTAGAGAGTTCGGCGCTTGCTCATAAGTTTCCAAACTGAAGTATGCCAGTACGCCTTTGGGATGAAAAAGTGTCCGAACCCTTGCTTGCACACGAGGCATATTTCCTGTTCGCGTACCGTATACGATCCCATCGAAGCGCTCAACACACAAAATCTCATCGGCGGGAAAGTGAGGCCTGTTTGATACTTAGTAACGATTGAAGGCATCGAGGAGATTAAGCTCACCTTTGCTCGACAATTAGGCTTGTACCTGGCTTGGAGGGGGACTCAGATAGCATAACCTTTGGCGGTAGAGTCGGAAGCTCCATTGACAGAATGCTCTCATAGCGCTCATTGTGAACTGACTGATCGCAAATACACCTATGTTTGCTGGGCTGGACGGGGCACAGCCATCCGAAAAAAGTGCAGATCCAAGAGGCCATGAGAAAGAGGAGAATGCTGCCTATAGGCGAGGCTGATAACATCGCAAGGCAACCAAAAGGCGGTGACCATCCTTATATGCTCTCGCCATGCTTCCATCAACCGTAAGCAGACCAGAGGCCGTACTCAGGCCTCTGGGTATCCTAGAAGAAGTAACTCACAGCAGATCATCTAGAGATTTCCAGGATCTCCTTCACTGCATTAAGTTCTAGTTCAGAGAGTGAATCTGAAAGAGCAACAACACAGGCTGCTAGTGGTTGGCTGGGACGGGTCGCATCCAGTGAGGAAGGCCAGGCCGATCGAGGTTGGGGTGGTTCGTTGGTAGAGGAAATCGATGTACAATCCGCGCGATAGATTCCCCTCTAATTTTATTGAATTTCATGAAAACTATGTGGGATGCCAGAGAAAGACCTGCCCGCGGACTGCATATTCAGGGATCTCATATGCCGTATGTTCATCAAGGCAATCAACTGCACATTCAAGGATCTCCTTCGCTGCATTGCTTTTCGGGAGCGGCCTATTCAAATGTGCCATCCTGGGATCAAGATCTTGATGGTCCAGAATCGATACTCGTTGTGAACAACGGACCGAAAGAGGCCTGGGCGTGTGTCGCAGAAGCCATGCAAATGCACTGCAGCAAACGGGATCTTCAGAAGCCCAAGACCGTGACTGTGGTGCGTCCAAGCATCAGCTGTGATACAGGAGGAGACAAGTGATTGCGTGTCCAATCCTTGAAGCGAGGTTGGGATGTTTGGTTAGCTCTGGGTCTGTTCGCGACAGGAAAAGGAACCTGAATTCAGAAGGGCAAATGGGTCGAGCGCTTAATCCTGAGCCAATTATTGATGATTTTTAAATAGAGCTTTTTGTGGAAATGGGTTCATGCACTTCACGAGCGCCCGTCACCTGCGTACTAGCGGCTGGGCGTTGGCAATGTTGCCAACGCCAAGGAGCCCGCTGTTTCCTCCATCTGAACTCATCAACATCAAATCTTCTCTCTCAATCACCACAATGGCTTTGGATGGCGATGAGCGAATTATCTCTGCGATAAGGATTCTCTCTCGTGCCTCTTCGGAAGCCCTTGGACGCATTCTTCTCCGGGACCGGGACACCTTCCGAACTGCCCACCAAAAACTGGCGAACACTGTCAAGCTTGAAGGGGGAATCACGTTACTGGGCGCTATCAAAAAGGATTTTGAGAAAATCAAAGAATTCCTCCAAAAACCGGAAAGCGAGGCCGTCGGAAGACCGTACTGGGAGGGCAGGGAGGTTCGACTCCTTGATATTCAGAGAGTATCTCGAAACTCAAGCTACAATGACAGGTTTCGATGCTTCTTGGCCGAACGATCCCTCGCTTTAGAATTCGAGGAATGGGAGTTAAAAAAATACCAAACATCTCGGTTGGATAAAATTGTCAGCAATCCACATGCCGCCGAAGACAAGAACGGCCACATGTTAGAGTTCCTGACATCCAAAGGAATACTGGATGGAACGCCAGAAGCAAAGGTGGATAGGGGAGCGATAAGAGGACTGAAGAATGGACAAAGAAGTCTGTTTATCGAGAGAAAAAACCCATCACGCCGCGGGGTCTCTGCCATATTTTCGTTCAAGTCGTCTCTTCTGCGAAGGATTCCTTATCGTGAAATGGGAATCATTGAGGTTCTGCTGGCTGGAGAGGAGAATAAGGACGTTGCTCAGCTTGCGGAAGACAAATCCGGAACTCTTGACAGCTATCAATCGCATTATGACCGTTCGTTTTCCAGCGACAGCAACGATGGCCATGACGGAGAAGGAATTGAGCTCCGCCCATCCAAAAGGAGGAGGATTGAAAGCGACCGAGAAAACAACCAAAGAACTCCTGAGGTACAAGCATTCTCTGTTGAGGGACAGAGCATTCAAAATGTAAGGCCCGCCCATCCTAATCAACGACCTAGTCAACGAATATCTAATAACTGGCTGCTTTTATTTCAGCGACTGCCGGTTTCAAATATACAAACACGAATGGCTGCCGCGTATGCTCCGTCTGCACAGGAGACACTTTACCACTTCGACACAACAACAATTTCGAATGGCAGGAGAACAAGAAAGAACAAGGTTCAGCAATCGGGCAGGCGATCACACACACAATGGAATCCCTCAGAAAGAGGAACAGGAAGCCCACTTACTCCTGATGGGAGTGTATCTACTACAGATGAGAACGACAGTCAGCAATCGTCTGAAGAATCTAGACGGAGCTTTTCAAGCACAACGGATACCCAGGATGTGGACTTGGCCGAACCGGTCATTCTTGATGGAGGAGCAGCGGTCTCAGATATTTCAACACCATCAATTGGAAGGCTGATTTGCATTCCATCACATGGTGAGTCTTCATGGTCTGAATATTAAAACATTTACTGATATTATCAGCACGTGAACGCGCCAATGCAGACACTATATCTACGCAGCACCATGCGGGTTGTGCTAGCCAAAGCCGAGATAGTCCTTCAGGCCGTACACGGCTACACGCATACGCCAATGCTGACAGATGGGCCGGGCCGTCCGGCGGCGTCCATTCTCTCCCCACCAGTGCATACATCCCCGACACCGATGTGTGGGCCATGCAGTTTGGAGGTGCCGGTTCTCTGCCTGCCGATACATACATTCCCGACACTGACGCATGGGCCATGCAGTCCGCCAGTGCCGATTCTCTGCCCGCCAGTGCATACATCCCCAACACTGGCATGTGGGCCATGCAGCCTGGCAGCGTCGATTCTCTGCCCGCCAATGCATACGTTCCCGACACTGATGCATGGGCGAGGCAGTGTGCCACGCAGCCGCAGTCGAACATACCCAATATCCCAACTTATGGCGATGCCAGTTGACAGCATCACAGTGATCATACTCTGCAGAGCCACTCCTTTTTCTCATTTCCATACTCACAAACTTGTAATGCATAGGATAGAACCAATCCGTTACATATAGTCGACCCAATTATCGCTTAAACTGGATAATTACAGCGCCAATCTCGCGTCCTTCTTCAATGTTGAAAAATGTAAGCCTTCGCACGAATATGGCGTTCGTCCAATGCCAATCTAATCTTGTTATTTCCCCGCCTTGATTCCATGCAGTAACCTCCGTGTGGTAATCGATAAGCGGAACAATCACGGTGTCATTTTGTCTTCCAGATCTCCAACTTCCTCTAAAAACAGCCCCGTGCGATGATAAAACAGAAACCTCAGATGAAAACTTTTCCTATGTCCAAGCCATTTAGAATGCTAGTAGTATCTCCCAGGGATGTCAGTGCGCACCTTCTGATGAGCCTTCTCTGCCTCTTCAGAGACCTCAGATGGAAACTTTTCCTATGTCCAAGCCATTTAGAATGCCAGTAGTATCACCCAGGGACGTCAGTGCGCACCTTCTGATAAGCCTTCTTTGCCTCTTCCACAACCAACTTGAGACTCTCGTTATCAGGTAAATCAAAGTTCGAAATTATGGGATTCGAATCGGAAATCACCATATCAGAAGTTGCGCTTATTGCTGCTTTGATGGCGGCGTGAAGTGACTTTGGAAGAGGTAGATATGTGATCGGATCGCTGCTCTGCGACATGGCGCTAACCCGCGTTTGTATTCGCGTGAAGGCGGTCGGATACTAGGGGTGGTCGTCTTCTTCCCATCCAGAAATGATCAGTATTATGCAAAAAGATGCTGGGGCAGACAACCGCACCTTTTACTAAACGACTTTCAGGCTGATGGAAAATTTTCGTGTCGAGTGAAGTAGTTGGACAGCGAGCATGGTGGGGTTCACAGAACACAGGCGTGACCCCGTGACCTGGTTTCAAGATGGCAATGCCCCCGGAACACAAAGGAGTCTTTCCTCCTGGTCAAGACTCTGAATGGATATGATCCAGAAATCCATCAACGGAGCGACGCAAACTTTCAACCCAGAGAGGAGAGACGCCTTGGGAGGGGTAATTTGATTATCAACGGGCCAAAATCTGCCCCGCTTTGCATATCACGTGAAATGAATCTTGAGTTTTTCACTCAAATCCTATTTTTGTTGTGCGGCTGCACCGTTTTGTTTGGAGCGTGGATGGACGGAAATCCAGGCAAGGAGGGCGAATGTGAAGGGCAGCACTGTTCAGGCTTCTCTGAGCGTGGATATCGGCGGTTATATGCGTTCACTTCATATCTTCACAGGAAAATGTATTGCCATGAAGTAGTCCTTGGCCGCCAAGGATTCCCTTGGGTTGCCATACTGGCTCCCTGACAACAGGAGAACTGGCTGATAGGACCATGTGAAGCCGCTTGGGAGCACCTTTTCATCAGAAATGAGATGAAGCTGCAGACTCTACTAGCCTGGCAAATGAAAGCGAGTCATGTAGCACCCATCTGCGTCGGAACAGACAACACGGTGGGGATCCGGACCGTCCCGTTAGCCTATCTATTCCTGCATGTCCATGGAAGGAACGAGGGGAGTTTTTGAGACGGGTAAACTCCCATTAGTCACGAGGCCGGCAAAAGTAGCTGAAGTGCTTGGCCAATAGATGCGGGTTTTCTCCTGAAAGAGCAGTAATTATCCCACCTAATCTTCTGAAAATTACCGACCAGAATGAAAACTACAAGGCCTATCGGAGTCAGTTCGAGAAGGAATCCGGAATACCATTTTTATTCCCATACGTCCGCGAGGAGTTGATGTCGGGGGCCAGGAGGGATATGCCAACAGTGATGGAAAGGCGAATTGCTGTCTTCAGTGGTTTAATTGGGACCTTTTCAGCAATCTTAGCACAATGTTTCCCTACAAAATACTAGGTGTTGATTCCTGTAATGGTCTTTCAATTCTGATTTTCCCATCTTCATTTTCCTCCTAGCCTCATCCACTGTCTTAGGACTATTTGCATCTCCAATATAAGCGGCCAATCCGCTCTTTCACCCATGCGACAAGGCACTCGTGTAATGTGCGGGTCCTTGTGCTGGCATCCATCAAAAAAAATATACGCCACAATACCTCCGAGCAGGGATGGATGGGATCATCACCATTCCCATTTGCTTCAGGCAGTTCCTTGTCAGAGCAGTCCCAGATCGCTCCGCGGGCAGGGTCTCCGGCATCCCATAGGCCTCCCCCATCTATGGCTTTCACCGAAAATGAAAGGTGAATCTATCGCGCATTGCCCTTCAGCAAATTCACCCAGCTGGCCTCAGCGCCTCTTCTCGTGTTGGCTATCCACCCACTAATTCCAATGTACCACGATCATCATTAACAACAGGGATCTAAATAGCACGGAATTGGTCATTAAGTTCCTCTCCTTGAGCTAAATATAAAGGCTCACTTCTTGCTTAAACTACTTGCCTCTACATCCCATTGCTAGCTCAAGAATGGACTAGAAACTGCCGACTGCATCTATCTGGAACAGCCCAGGCATCGATTCGGTCGTCGTAGTGGAGATACATCGGATCTAGTGCGGGAAGAATTGATCCAAGCGATGCGAAATACTCGAATGCCGATAAACACCTCAGTTCCGCTATATATGGATGGAGGACGGCCGGCCCATGACCCAACGTGAGCTTCTCCGAGGATTCTAAAGGAATGTTCGGTACACTGACTTAAGAATAGCGAGCCTGCAGAGCGCCTCATGGCAACAACACCCCTCTCAAGCTCAGCGGCTTCGATATCAGCTACATCGACACCGTTTGCCGTTGCATCAAACTTCAACAATCATGCTCCAGAGTTTCCACCTTTACCTCTCCAGCAGACAAAGGAGCCCACCAAGAAGAATCTGTCCTCCTCTTCTGAGCCTGGGTACCAACCCATGCGCTTGCAGGACTGCCCCAAGTGCCTGCTCTAATGACCGGCGGGGAGAATATGTCTACTCTCGAGCCTTTCACCGAGGACTGGAATATGGGTACCAGCTCCTGGATAGATTGGGGTAGTCGGCTGGGCCACCAAGAGTGAGTTCTCTGGTGCTAGTTTCTGGTTTCTCCTTATTGACATATATTTCGTTGAGTGATTGCCTACTAATTCATAAAAGTCAACTGGCGACCTCAGCTGCTTCAGCACCGACCACTTCCAACCTAATTGCCATCGCATCGAACTCCAACAGTCCTGGCCCATCTGATCACTACAAATGCCAGCGCACCGATCCTAAAGGCAAGCCATGCAACTCGACTTTCAGGTCGATCTCTAATCTTCGAAGACATGAGCGTCAGGTCCATAACAGCGGCAAGCGCAGCTGTATTCACTGTGCATCATCCTTTGACACAGGGTCGGAATACCGAAAACATGTGCATGAAGCTCATCGCAACGTTGTGTACAAATGGAAATGCGGGATCTGCTCCAAAGAGTACTCCCAGAAATCAGGCGTTCGTTATCACCTAACCACGATGCATGCGGACATGGCGGGTCAGGATACTTGGTGGTTGAAGTGGATTGTCTCTCGCCCATGCGCAGGATGAACCATGTGCTCACCTCCTTGGCTAATTCCTAACAAGTCAAGGATAGCTTGCTGTCGTAACCCACTTTTTGGCCTGCGTTCGATGATGGTCTGAAGCCGTCCTGTGTCGAACTGCCGCACATATCAGTTGGGTCTATGAATCTTGAAGTACCTGGTTATCCTTCTTCGCAGTCCATCCTCCGCTGAGGCAGCACCAAGGAGTCAGCGTGGAATGCTCAGACCCCGTGTTACGGCACTGATATGAGTCAATTTAATTTTGAATTTTCTCTGTTAGCTAGGCATTCCGTGAGAAGCACTGTTGAGGTTGCATGGATGTAACGTGTTTTTATGCCAAGGCCCGGAGAAACCTTTCATCCGTTAAACAAGAACTCTGTTCCCTGCACCATGGTACATTCCCTAAGCCAGTCAATTGGTTGGTTGAGAAAGTAGGTCCCAAACTGGCCGGGCCACTCGATCGACGCGAAGCTGTCCTCACTACCGAACCTTCCTACCTCCAGGGTGGAAGCCCTGTATTCCATGCTGTAGGAATTAACTTCTTGAAACTATTTAATTATATCGAAGTGAGAGAATTATCTAAGGAATATAGAAATGCTGTCAATAAATCAGAAAAAATGAGAGAGTTTTGGCAAAAATCTATGAAACAAGAGATCAAAAATCTCAAACAACAAAGCACAGGCCGTTGCGAAGTCCGACGCGCTGCTGGCCAAACAGCCTTCCCAGAACCACCCAGTGAAGTGCTGTCCTCCCTTTCTGGAGTACGCGTTGCCGCATTTCTACCCCATTCATTTCTCGACGTAAACGAGCTACTCGTGGACCAGTCGAGCCAACCATGTGGAATTCCGGGCCGTTCCGTCAGCCTGCAGATATACATACGCCAAGATGTGCATTTGTGACTCTCTCTGTCAGAATGAGTTGAGGAAGTCTACGAATGTTGGAGGAAAGTAACCAGTTGAAACCAATCAACAGCATTATTTGTCGTGCAACTGGCCTTCCACGCCTCCTTAGCAGCAGCATTTCAGAGAATCGGGCACTAAGTGGTGTGCCCACAACTGTTGACTCGTTGTTTCACCAATGGCGTCACTCATCTTCTTGATCCACAAATGGTAGGGCTTTGAGCCACGCCTTGCACTCCTCCTCATTCCTAGCCTCACGGCCCAAGAATCGTTGTATCCCCTCCGCCAGCTGCCTCTTCGATGATTCATAATCCGCATTGCTGACCTTGCCATCCCAGTGTTTGAAACATCCTGTGTCACTAATAAAGTCGTTCATGAGCCCTACACCCTGGGCCCATAGCTCTTCGTCCCGTTCCTGTTCCTGAATCTCAGCAGCTGAGAACTGCAAGGGGCATGGAACCAATGGCAAGCCATCTGTCCCGATGCCAACAATCTCTGGCCACCTTTTCTCCACATCTCTCAGCAAGCTACTCAGGCATGGTTCGTAGTCCATTAGCGTCAAACCCGGAATAACACTAACTTGGTGACGGAGTGTGTCTTGGCCCTGCATGGCCTGGAAGGCTTCTTCATTGACTTGACGGGATCTAGCCAAGTAAAGATTGTGTAGTGTCTGTGCTTGATGCAATGCTTTTGCGTTCCGTTGTTCGTCTGAGGTCATGGAGTCAAAGTTCCCAGGGAGATGGATCTGTCGAAGTCCTTCAGGAGCCGGGCCATTGTAATCCAGGAAGCCAGGGCGCGTGACTTGCATGAAAAGTGGACAAATGCTGACACACTGCCAGTCGACTATGCCCAGTATACGGGTTGGCTCTCCAGGATCGACAAAAATATTTTGCAAGTGCAAATCGCCATGCCACAAAACCGGTGTTAGGGCTGCTCTGTTATCGGGCAGAACATAGGGCGCCACTTTGAGATAATTGTGCAATGCGGACAGTTTCTTCGAAGAGCTGGGCTGGTATTGTCTGGGTCCATAGAAAAGGCCTTCGGGCATCAATGGGTATCTGAGTCGCGCCCTTGCGCAGAGAATTTCTCGATGCGCAATGGCAATCATGAATTCCGCAGGTGTAGACCCTGAGAAGTGCTCCACATTATTAAGCATATGAAAAAAATTGCTAAAAGGGTTAAGGGACTTACATGGTCCATGATCAATGTCCAGTTTCCCCCTCCCAAAATCGAAAAATGAACGATGGTTGGTGGGTCCAATGCCAAACTTCGCACTGTGTACCTCCTTCCCATCTTTGTCGACATATAATGGTGACGAGGTATCAAGCATTGCAGGGAGGTCGTCCTTGTAGTACAAAGCTCCAACCTTCGTGAATTTTGTTGAAGTGAGGGTTTTCTCAAAATCAACAACTTGTAGCACAATATGGGCTTTCTGCTTTCCTTTCATGCTTTCCCACACATCGCTCAGCATCACGCCAGCTTGCTTTTCCATGATGATATACTCTGCTCCAACTGGGTTCTCTGACGCTTTCGAGCTCCATGCATAGACCTTCGGAACTGGAAGATGGAGGATGTTTCTCAACTAATAAAGTTAGTCAATATTATTAGAAGTTGAAGGAGAAGAAAAGGGAGCTTGTACAAAGTCCATGGTCGCAACCTCACTGGCTGTAGTGAAGCACGGTCTGCCTGCATTGGGATTCGGCAGTTTGACAATCACCTCACGTCCATCATTCATGGTAAGCAGGAACACTTTGTTATACTGGCCCTCTGAAATCTTAACAACTTCGACACAGTATTTCGATCCGATGAGAGAAACAGCAAGTTCCAAAAGCCTTGACATATCAAACTTCACGTAGCGGCATGCAAGTTGCTGGTGCTCATTCCAGAGCCATCGACCTGAGGTGTATCGATGGAGAGCCTCCAGATCATGCTTTGAATCTGTAATAAAAACACTGGTTAGATACCTCTAGGTGATATCATGGAATACGTTTCTTTTTCATACCTTTGAGGTCTCTCCGCATTTGATGCATCCTGCGACAATCGGAGCTGAAGTAACCCCCCCTAGCTCTTGCACAGAAGCAACGAGGAATGAGTGGTGTGCTGAATAGATTTTTCAACACAAATCTGTGGATGCCCCTCATATGGCATAAACAAGGGATCTTGTAGGGTATCATGGGCATTCCTTCCTATGGGTGGTCTCGATCAGGTGGCAAGACGGGCTTGGTGCGACTTGTGGTGTTTGGCTTGGCGCCAGGTAAAACTGACTAAGCTAAATTAGGCTCGCCTACCCAACCCGGAACCTTATTTTCGGTCCCAGAATCGCCCACCACACAGCCCCCCCGCCGCAGACAGCTCAACGAGGGAGGGTGGTATCGCCCAGTGACACATCATTGCAGTTTCTGTGCTGCTTTCCTGCTTTTGCTGGCCGCCATAACCATCTCAATGATAGCCCAATGAGGGGAGGTCCCAGCGTCAGGGTTGAGATCCCCGATAGCCAATAATTCTGAAATCGGGTTGCGCCATGGCGGCAAGGACAGCAAAGCCGTGTCAGGCTCGTTGGAGAGTCTCAAGATAAAAGGAAGCATTTCCCAGGTGATGGATTTGAATGCATTAACATCAGGTTATTTGGCCACAGCTCCTCCCCTCTTGACAATATTCCAAACCGTGGGAAAGACATTCACGCGTCTAAGAAGAACAAGAACAAGAAACCTTGACAGGTAACACACTCCCTTACTATTTAGTTTTTTATTTCTCTAATTCCTGACCCTGCAAAGTATAAATTGCGGCAATGAACGCCCTCAAAGACAAGCTTCGAGCAATGGTGAATTCTGCGATGGCCACCAAGTCTGGACCAACACGCCTCCTCAGCTTTGACCCCAGTAGCCCAGGCCGCCGTCTGTGGCCTTCCGACACGCCAAAGAACAACGCAGAGTGGGAAATCCGGCTCGATGCTGGAGAAGCCAGGAAAGACAATTCTGATCTGGTCGCTGTGAAATTGCAGATTAACAGGGAAGCCAAAACCAAGGGTCTCAAGGACCTGGTCAAGGCGAATGGGACCCATTACACGTATGCAACGGCGTGGGTTAATGTCAAAGAACCCCCGACGAAGGAGGCGGCGGATAAGCTTGTGGACGATCTGATCAAAGACCTGGAGGATGACTGAGCTTGTTTGACCTTTTGCATATATGTTCAGGAGACTGATATTTATACTGGAGATGTATCGTCTATCACTACAAATGTAGCAGCAACAACACATCAGCGAACTTAATAACTTCAAAGGCTGAATTTTGACCTGTAGGAGACCAACCAACCATTTTTGCAAGTTCAAGCAACAGATCTGAAGCAAGCATCCTACCTCTGGTCATTTTCATGAATCTCGTAGCCATTCTCCATGGAAAGGTTCTGGGGATGCGAGGTGATGCACACCGGCGCCGATTATTGTCCTTCTTGGGTAATTAAGGGTCCACTGGGCGTGCTCCTGCTCCAGGGCATCTGGCGCGTCTCTCGTCCTGGAATGTGTTATCTGGGGGATCAATCATTTATTGCCATGTGTTTGTGCCTCGGGCTGACGCGAGGCAGAATCAGGCGAGACCTCAACAGCCAATTGGAGACAAGACTTTGTGAGGCGAACCCACATATTTTTGTCAGCAGCGCTCAAACTTGATTTGCCGGGCCGTCCCGCAGGACCCTCCTCCACCTTGGCAGACACATGGCTTTCCAATGCTGCCATGCCACGCTGAGAGCTAAAGAGGGACAGTTCTCTGCATCCATAAAATTAGCAGATCATTCCCCCGTCTCAGTCTTTATGTTCATCCTCTAACATCCATATCCACCTTCCCTAACCATGCCAAAGAAGAAACAAATCCTGGAGCTGCCCTCAGACACTGAGAAGGAGAAGGGGTACTTTGCAAGGTAAATTATTTGAAGCAGTCCAATTAATTTGTTATGTATGTTAACAAGCATAGTACAGCTTCTACTTGAACCCAAAGTATAGCGACCTTACCATCATTTGTGGCACCAAAACTTTCCCGGGCCATCGTATCATAGTCTGCTCTCAGTCCAAGTACTTTTCCCATGCATGCGACGGAAATTTTAAGGTATTGATGTTTAGTACCCTTCCAGCAGCTAGAAATGCACGCTGATGTGGATATGTGTTGAAGGAAGCGCTCTCCCGGGAAATTGTGCTCAAGGACCATGAACCGATACTGGTCGAACCAACCCTGCAATATCTGTACACCGGCAACTATACAGTATCGCCTCCTTTCGATGGCCCTGCTGCTTTCGATGACCCCGCTGTGGCAACGGAAACTCACCAGAGCACAGAGGAATTCCTTAAGCGGCATATTTCTTGCTTTCATGCTCTGATGTACCTTCAAGGTGAATATTTCCAAATTGATGGGCTTAAAGTACTTGCAAAGGGATACTTTCGGGCATCATTTCTGGGGCGGTGCGATATGGATTCATTCCCCGCTGCGGTTGAAGAAGTGTATCGTTCAACAGCCAAGCATGACCGAGGGCTCAAGGATTTGGTCATAGAGTTGATGATGGCCAAGCTACGAACTTTCCAGGATGAGCAAAAGCAAGCCGTCAAAAAACTCCTGGAGGATATACCTGAGTTTTCACATGACCTCTGTGTTGCACTGATGGATAGACACGAATGTCGTTGCGTGGAACCCTATTCTATGTATTAGACAGAGAAATATTACAGATATAGTGAGTGCAAATCACAACAAAGCATAAATATAATTGAGTCGCCTTTTTAGACCAACCTTTGTACGCTCCAGGGCCCGCAGAGTCGGCAGTGGGCGTGCCCATTGCAGAAAGGAGCATGAAGAGCGAATAAAGTCCAAGTGCAACGGCAGAAGCCAGAATCATCGCCTCCACTGAGGGCAGTGCGCTGTGACCTGCTCGGGTAGGCTCCCTGGCGCTCTCTTCATGATCTGTTTGTACAAAACCAGTATGGTCTCCTTTGCCGCCCTTGTCCACAACAATTTTTTTCATGGTGCACGGGCATGTTCGGCAGTATCTTGTCGGTGGCTTTCTGTTGGTGGGCTCACTACGGACACTGCGCTAAGTATGGCGCATGGATGGCTGCAGGGACACTCCCTACCGCTTTGCAGGTGGTGCTGACAACTGCTGCTCTGTGTCCGCACTGCCATGGCGTTCGCGATCATATACCGAGGTTGGCCCCCCGCTGGATGGAGCTCTGATCGTCTGGGACATCAAGGACTGGTGGATCGCGAGTGTGGCAACCTGGTGGGAATCACCACTTCAACCCTGGGGTACCTTGGTGGTCGAGGGCTGGTTGGTGGTTGCTTCTGGGAAGTATGGGCGGGACTGTCAACAGCACTAGCGGCAACAGCCGGAGTATCTGGCCGCGGCGAGGAAGCCACAGAGACATGCGTGTTGGTGGTGTATCTAGCCGGATCTAACCCTCTCCTGTTTCTTCGTTTCCGAAGTGTAGACTGCCGCTGGCGCAAGGCAGATTCCATCCTCCCCGGAAAACACTTCTCTATCTCTGGCCAGGACTGGCGGTCCTCTATCATGCTCAGAAGTTGTGCATCATCCTCAGGGGACCATTGCCACAGCTGCTTGCCTCTGTTGCCTTTCTTCCCCTTACTAGGCCCATGCTGAGTTGGCCCAATCTCCCCTTGGTAATCCAAGCAAGCAGCTGACTGCACACCCTCATTAAATTCAGGTGTGCAGCTTGCCAAGGCACCTTCAAACAGCCAAGACAGGAACTGCAGGTGTTTATTGAGCTGTAGAGATAGGAAATGGGAACAGACAGTGATAAAGGAATGGGTAGGTAATGTAGAAGAAATTTGAGACTGCTTTGTGATCTGTTCTTCCAATTTCTCTGCTCCTCACTTGAGACTCTTTGACTATTTGCTGCTGGAGTCTTCACCTATGCTGCTGGAGCAGGGTGCATCAGTCTCAGTGCTGAGATGGGAGGGGTGCAGTTGTAGACAAGTCTGGATGTAAGAGTGTTTATTCTTTTAAGCACTTTTGTTCCAGCTATCAAATCTCTTCATACAGCCTTGGTGAGGGTTGGGTGTGCTGCAGAATATAGACAGAGAAGGTTCAGGATACAAACAGTGTGCTTCTAGGATTGCAGGGCTGTTGCCTTGCTATAAAGATAGAAGAAGCTCACTAATCTCCCAGAGCCTTCCATTGGCAAGAATAGCTGGGTCTATAAGAATATTGTCATTGTTCTGAAGAACTGGGAGCTGAGGGAATTCCTCCAGACTGCTGTCCAAGCTAACTGTACTGGGTGAGGATAGACTAGGCCCTGTGGCACCTTTCTCAAGCAGAGGTGGCTCATCTGGAGAAGTGGGATGTTGGGTGTTGCAGGCAACAATTTGAGGTGAATTTGGGGTAACCTGTAGTGGATCATGTGGATACAAGTGTCCATGCTCAGGGCTCTCTGAATGTGGCATACTGGATGGTGGTATCAACTCTTGTGCTTGGGATTGGGAGGCTGATGGTATATATGGCTTGATGTTGATGCTGAATAACATGCAAACTTCAGCTGGCAGTCTTGCAGAGAGATGATGCTTGGGGGGTGGTAAAGTGTTGTGGGAAGTGTTGCAGGGAGGATCATGACAGGATTTGAAGGGAAGGGAACAGCTGGTCACCAGAGAGTGTGAATTGAGGGATTTGGGATGAGAGGGGTTCCATGGTTTGAAATTTGCATGAAATGGAGGATTGAACAGGACAGGAGGTGGCATTTTCCAGAAGAGTGGACTTTGGACACAGAGATGATCAGGAAACTGGAGGTCAGGAATATGAATCAACAGAGAGTGTGTGGTGGGAAAATCAGAGAGGAACAGAAACTCTGGGGACCTGTCGGCCTTCTTATAGTGGCTCTCTGTCTGTTGATGTGCTTGCTTCACCACTGCTCCAAGGGGAGTGACAGGGAGAACCCCTCAGTTCCTTGAATCTTGCTTCAGGATGTTGACATGTCCATCCCATTCAAGATTATGGCCTGGAAACAGCCACCCTTGGTGCCCTATGCCAATCCTGTTCAATCATTGCAATGTCCAAAGATCACATGTCCCACTCACACTCCTCAACACACACCCCCCCTTCCTGGGCTGGCTCAGAGGCACATCCTGCTCCTGCAGTGAAAGCAATGCAGTAATTTTGCCATTGGTGGGAGAACAAAAGCAGGATCCTGGAAAGTCAGTCTTATTGGGTCAGGGGTGGGAGGATGCAGGCCTGGGCACCAAATCCAGCTGATGTGCTGACTTCAGGATACATGCCAGCCAGCCACCTTCAGGGCTTCCAATACTGGCTGTAGCCCTTTTTTGCTTGGAGCCTTGCAGGCCAGGGGTGCCTCTGGAATCAGAGCAGGAGAGCACAGAGGTTATAAAAGAAAAGGGCAAGAGACAAAGGAAATTGGAAGCAGACAGTGATGAACACCAGCCTGCTGCCTAGAGTTGCCAATTGAACAACAGGATGAAAACCATCATGACATGGCTGCAAACCTCCAGCAAGCCAGATAATGTCACAAGAGGGGCCCAGATGGCCTAGAAACCAATGAAGTGACACAAACTGTCAGGTCCATCAGACAGGTCTTTGGTGACTCTGTGGGTGCAGGTGAAAAACATAGGGGACAGCCAGATAACACAGCATCATTCCTGCAGGGTGAGGGGAGGCAGTGCATCTGGGCATGGGAAACAGGACATGGAATGAGGGAGAAAGAGGATGAGGAAGTGCATTGTTGTTGAAGGAAGTGAGATTGGGTTTATATAGATTGCCTGGCAGCACTGGGGTGGTGAGAGGTGTGGCAAAAGTGGTGAGGCAGGTGCCATTCCTGAAGTGGCAATGGCCATGCTGCAATGGGCATAGTGCATGCTGTGGACCAATGGTGGGCCTGATTGCTGGGCTGGGCGCCCCGCTAACCAACACAAAGATAACTCAGTTATTGTAGTGCTGTTGACAGATCTCTTGAAAGACAGTAAAAATAAGTAAAAGAAGAAATTATTTCTTCTGACATCTGCTATCAGAGAAGCATTTCATATATTAAAAGTAGCTTTCTCTGGAGAATCTGTCATCTACCACTATAATTCAAAATGTAAAATATGTCTGAAAATAGATGCTTCAGAATATGCTGCAGATATAATATTGCTACAGTTATTTGATGATGAGTGGTATTCAGTTATCTACTAATTATTCAAGTTTGACCAGATTCAATAAGTTTATAGTACATCAGATAAGAAGATATTGACTATCATTCAAGTATTTGTTTATTAGCAGCAGTACTTAGAAGAAATAAAATATTCTGTAGAGATTATTATAAATCATGCAAATCTTTGTTTATTTATAAAGTCTACAAACAAGATGATACAATAATAACATGTAAGATAAATAGAGATTCTCAGAGCATATAATTTTGAGATTCTCTATCACTCTGAAAAGCATAACCCAGCTGACATATTATTACAAAGACCAGATTATATTAAACTAGAAGAAGATATTGGTCTGCTAATATATATACTTAAATAATATTACACAAATAGTGTTTCAGAGTGGGACCTATTTAAAGAAACTTTCTTTAATAAAGAAGGTATTCAAGTACATGCTGCCCATGCTGTTCAAAGCAGTAGGGTAGAGATAGTACAGAGAAGATCTGATGATATCAAGACAGTTGAGTCAGTCTAAAGAGCACCAGCTAGAGATGCTGGGAAGACTTAATGAAGAAATCACAGAAGATTCTGAATTCTCCATATGCATGCAAACACAGTGATGAAAGATAAAAAGACCTATAATAAACTAACTGTGAGTTTATTGGATCTGCTGCTAGAAGTACAGAAAGATAATCTCTTTATATAAGTAAGATTCATCAAGATAGAATCTCAGCAGTCAGAGTGGAAAATAGATAAATAAGATCTTTTAATGAAGAGTAGCAGAATCTATATCTCTAATAATCTAACTCTAAGACAGAAACTACTACAAGTTTACTATAATGACTTATTTATAGATTATTTTGATGTAGTAAAGATATTTGTCTTGCTCTGATGAAAATATAATTAACAATTAATAACACAAGATATCTAGATATACATACACAAATGCCAAATCTACTAATGAGAGAAGACTCCAACATATAAACCATATAGATTACTTACATTATTGCTGACATTCAGTAGTCTCTGATATTTAATATTCATGAACTTTATAACAGATCTCTTTCTGAGTGAAGAAAAGAGAAATTTATATAATACAGTTCTAGTTGTTGTGAATTGATTTATAAAGCTTGCATGTTTTCTTGTATGTAGAAAGAAGATTAATGTGTTAGAGATGGTAAATCTTCTGCTTAGAAGAGTGTTTAAAGACTTTGAATTTCCAAACAATATTATTTTAAATCAGGAATCTGTTTTCATGAGTGAATACTAATCAGAGCTATGTTTTCACATGAAAGTTAAATAAAAACTTAGCATGACATTCCACCCACAAACAGACAGTCAAACAGAGACACTGAACAAGATTTTAAAGAAATATCTTTGTGTCTATTGTAGTTATAGACAAGATAATTAGAAGAAGTGGTTTGTGTATGCAGAATTTACATATAACAGATTAAAATACTTCACAATGCACATATTCTTATTTAAAGCAATATACAGCTTTGAATCTAGAAAATCAGACAAGATCCAGAAGTCAATCAATAATAATAATGATGCACAGACAATGTCTGATGGAAGACTAAGAATGATCTTGGTATTAAGAGATAGTCTGATAGAATGTTTGATGAAAGCAAAAAAGAATCAATCACAGTTCTATAATTAAAAACATCAAGATAAAATGTATGCACCTGGTGACAAAGTAATGTTGTTATCAAGAAACCTACAAACAATATATTCTTGCAAGAAGTTAGATAACAAGTACTATGGATCTTTCTCAGTAATAGAAATTATAGGAAATAACACATATCAACTGAAGCTCTCTTCAAGCTATCAGATTCATAACATTTTCTATATTTCATTGTTGGAACCATACTGCATGAGAACAGGTGAAGCATCAACACATCCCTCTACAGTACTGGTAGATAATTATCATGAGTGGAAAGTAGACAAAATCTTGAACAACAAAGTACACTACCACAAGAAATATTATCTAGTAAAGTGAAAAGAATTCTCTATTGAGAAATCAACATGAGAATCTGAGAAAAATCTTGAAAATGCACAAGAGATTCTTAAGAATTACCTAAAAAAAAGATCTAATTACAAGAAGATAAATGAACCTACATACAGAAAGAAAGATAAATATGATACAAAACAAATATAAAGACTATAATACATCTACAAAATCAAGAATTTAATAGCAAGAAGATGTACCACAAGAGTATCTGAGATACAGCTGTAATGATGGTGAACTAGCCATAAACAAGCAAGACTCAGAAGTCACAAGTACATTTGATATAATGACAGACAGAATCATAACAGAAGATACAGTTACAGAGAAAGATATTACAGATAAAGAACTATAAAAAGAATAAAGTGTTTCTACAATACTTCAAATACTAGAAGAAACAATGTTGGCTAAATAATTAATTAAAGACATGAGATTGGCCTAAGCAGAAGATAATCTAAGAATAAGTAAGATGATACAGAAGATCTACAAGACTGGTTTTTATACTATCTTAAAGAGCTTTGATTCCACTCATCAAACAAGTTATAAGATAATCAAGCAAGATTCAGATGTTTGCAACTTTATTTTTAATTCAAGAGAGAACAATATAAACTGAGCTTAACAAATAAGAGAACTTAGATAGACTGTCTTTAATAGATTCTGTTTCAGACATGAGATTCATAGTCTTGACTACATAACATGAGACAGGACAACAACATTTCATGAAAGATTCTTTAACAGCAGAAGTAGTCTGATAACAGTAATATTTAGTGGCTTCTGAGTCAAGCCCATAAAATTCACACACAAGTATACTTATGCTGTTACAAATGTAGATCTAGACCAACCAAGCATCAGATGATGTTAGATATTCAGAGGTATTCACATGACCCCAACTCTGAATGTATAAGAATCACACAATTCACATGAATTGTGAGAATCCCAGTGTTCAGTCTTCTAGTTAGAGAATCTCTATATTCTATGCATGACTCCCTTCCATCAGTTGCAGGCATTGTACATACTTAGCTCTTTTGTACCTCTAATTCTGGGAAAACCTATGTGATCTATAACTGGTTCTCCTAATATTCTGAACACTTCAATATATAATTGCCTAAGTTGGTATAATGCCATCAAGACCCACAAGATGAACCATGACAACACCCCATGTTACAGACCTGACAGAGATAGACACCAATATGGAGAAGATAAATATTGAAGAAAATACTGGTAGCAGTAAAGCCACCACCAGCAAGACACCAGCAGATGATATAGACAACAAAGATACATCTCTTAATATATTAAATAAAATCTGAAGAGAGAAGATCTTTGAAGAAAAGAAGACACATCTCCAAAAGAATCTAGCAGACATATATAAATAAAATAAGATATG